CCTGGGAGGCCAGCACAAGGACACTCAGACACCGAACACTCTGCTTATAGTGTAGGAAACTCTGCGCCTTACGTGGTGAGTGCAAATCACAGGCAGCACCACGCTCAGGACGGTCTGATGCCAAACAACCAACGCCTTTAAGGCTAAGACACAGCACGCAGCAGCGGGCAGGGCCAGCGAGCCGTCTCTGTGGCTGCAGTGTCACGGAAAGCTACACAGCTCGGGCGCCAGATTCAAGACCAGGCCCTGCCTCCCAGGCGGCCCTTCCTGTTGGTTTCTTCTCTGTATTTCTGTGCTACCAGACTGAATGAAGAAAGCTTCTCAAAATCCCACAGAAGTCAACCGTGGGGCGCCCGTCACTCATTCTCCCCTGAAAACAGCGGCGTCAGCATCTTCACACCGAGCAGCACTGGATGACCACACAGCTCTGCCTGTGCTCGCTGGCTTCTCCCTGCACCCGGCTGAGCTCCAGCACCCGTGGGAAAAGACGCAGCCCAAGAAGCTCGGCCCCGTCAAAACCTGCGTGAACCTTCAATCGCACTGGCATGGAGTCCGCACTTCTTTTGAAGGAAAAAGACATCCCGGAGTGCGTGTGGGTGTGGCTACGCATGTGCATGCGTCTGCATGTGTGCACACCCTCACACACGTGGATCACAGGACATTTGCTGGAAAGCTTAAACAGCAGGCTTCTCTGAATCTGGGACTATTTAAGCAAGAGTGAGAGTTGACATCTCTCCAAGTCTACAAAGGAAGACTTGCTGCAGGTGAATTATAGGTAGGAGGGTTAACCCACTAGATAATCCTGGTCTTGAAATGGGATGGAGTGTGACGGCTCATCTCCCTGGAGGGAATGTGTACACGCGGGGACAAGCTTGTCCCATGAAAGCTTGAGGGGTCCATGAAGGCTGGCCCGATACTTCATAGCACTGATCCTCACCGCACACTGAACATTCAAAGGAGTTAAAATAAGCCAGGAGGGGCAGGAGTTGGACAGGAGTCCGGCACAGTGGTTAAGACGTCACCCAGGGGGTAGGTATTGTACTGCAGCAGATTAAACCTCCGGGTGGGGACCCACATCCCACTCTGGAACACCTGGCTCAAGTCCCAGCTAATCGGCTTCCCTGGGGCAGCAGATGACGGCTCAATTACCTGAGTCCCTGCCACCAACGTGGGAGATCTGGGTGGAGGTCAGGGCTCCTGGCTTTGACCTGGCCCAGCTGCAGCTGTTGTGGGCATTTGGAAAACTAACCAGAAGATGAAAGATCTATTTCTCTGTCACTCTGCCTTTCACATAAATATACCAACAGTTAACAAGAAAGGAAAAAGAATTTTATTAAAAAAAAAAACACTTGAGACGCCTGCAAGTTTGAACCCCAGCTCCACTTCTGACTCCAGCTCCCTGCTAATGCACACCCTGAGAGGGAGCCAGCAAACGGGACCTCTCAGTCTCTCCCTCTCTCTCTGTCCACCTCAGCCTCTGTCTCTGACTTCCAAATAAATTAAACAGATAATTTTTTGTAGTAAAATAGGTCAGGAAAGCAAGGCAGACGGGAGGAGGGAAAACAGAACAAGAAAATTCTCTTTCAGCCGGCACCGCGGCTCACTAGGCTAATCCTCCGCCTAGCGGCGCCGGCACACCGGGTTCTAGTCCCGGTCGGGGCGCCGGATTCTGTCCCGGTTGCCCCTCTTCCAGGCCAGCCCTCTGCTGTGGCCAGGGAGTGCAGTGGAGGATGGCCCAGGTGCTTGGGCCCTGCACCCCATGGGAGACCAGGAAAAGCACCTGGTTCCTGGCTCCTGCCATCGGATCAGCGCGGTGCGCCGGCCGCAGAGCGCTGGCCACGGCGGCCATTGGAGGGTGAACCAACGGCAAAGGAAGACCTTTCTCTCTGTCTCTCTCTCTCACTGTCCACTCTGCCTGTCAAAAAAATAAATAAATAAATAAATAAATAAATAAATAAATAAATAAAAAATAAAAAAAAAAAAGAAACTTCTCTTTCTCTGAGGTTGGTATCTGAAGAAGGGGGTTATTCAGGGTGAGTGCAGACGCGTGCAGGGGCTGTGGGGGCCCTGCCGGGACCCTCGGTGCCTCCCAGCAGTCAGGCAGGAGCAGGAAAGGCCACAGGGTGCCGGCAGGTTCAGGCATCGGGCACTGAGACCACAAACGCAGTCCTGCCGAGGAGGGTGCACCAAGCACCACCACTGCCAAAGTAATCCTGGGTCCAGCGCTTTGGTGCCCAGTGCTGTCCCCCTGTGTCCTGCATCCTCAGGACGGCCACAGGAGGTGAGAACCGGGGTTGACACTTGTGCAGCACCTGCTAAGTGACAAGCGCTGCTCTGGGCTCTCAGGCACGGAGGATGTCACGGTGAAATGAACAGATTACCAGAGCACCCACCCGATAGCCCTCCTGTGGCCGCTGGGACAACTTCACATGGAAAAAGAGTGTCAAGTGCCTCACACCGGGCGCGTGGAACGAGCTGCAGGGTGGGAGCTCTTCCTAATATTAAGGTAGAAAATAACTCTACCAGCGGCACAAAGAAAGAGAATGTTGCAGGCACCAGAGAAGCATCCAACCCACAGAGCAGCCATTCAGTAGGCTCGGTGGGCCCAAGGTGAAGCTGAGGCGAGAATGGAAATGGATGCTCGTTAATATTCACAGGCAAACTGCCGCTGTCGTCAGGGCCCACACAGGAGCCTTGCGCACGTTCCCAGCTTCCAGCGCCAGCAGTCATCTGTCAGCACTGGCAGCCTTGCCGTGCACGGCAAAAGCACCAGGAATTATTCCTTTTGTATATTCTGGAAAAAGATGGTTTGTTTCCATTAATTTAATTCCACATGTAAATGTATGGCAGCTTGGGAGGAAACTAAAGAAAGAATGATGGCTTTAATTTTTCACTGGTAACTGCGTTGCTCTGAGATGGCTACACTGAGCAGTGTGTTACATGATTATGATTATCGTGTTTCTGCCTCCTAAGGGTGAGGACACCAAAGCTGAGAATCAGGAGACTTTGGTCCTCGCACTGGTTCCCCGCCCACCTGCCATGTGACCTTAGTCAGTCACCTCTTCTGCCTTAAAGGGAGGAGAGTAACACAGGCCCCAGCCATGCCAGGCCTAACTAGAGACAAGCCAGGCAAAGCAACGCAACACAGGGACACATCAGGGGCCAGCATCTGGCTCAGCCATTAAATGCCTGGGACCCCTACATTTCATGTCCAGGCTCAGCTCTGCTCCGGATTCCAGCTTCCTGCCAGTGCACACCCTGGGAGGCCATGAGTGATGGCTCATGTACTTGGATCCCTGTCACCCATGTGAGAGGCCTGAATAGAGTTCTGGCTTTGGCCTGTCCTGGCCCCAGCTGTTGTGGTCTTTTGGCCCTTTGGGAGTTAAACAATCTATGGATAATCTTTGTATCTCTGTCTTTCTGCCTTTCAGACAAATGAAAGTAATTTTTCTAAGATTTATTTTATTTGAAAAGCAGAATTACAGAGAGAAAGACACAGACAGAGAGAGAACTCTTCCATCTGCTGGTTCACTCCCCAAATGGCTCCAACAGCCAAAGCCAGACTAGGCTGGAGCCAGAAGCCAAAAGCCAGGAGCTTCCTTCGTCTCCCACAGGGACTCAAGCACTTGGACCACCTTCCATTGCTTTCCCAGGCATACTAGCAGGGAGCCGGATCAGAAGTGGAGCCGCTGGGACACAAACCAGCACTCACGTGGCATAGCAGTGCCACAGGTGGTGGCTCAACCAGCTACACCACAGTGCCAGCCCGAAAATAAATGCCTTTAAAGATTTTTAAGACTGACCAGGTGTGGGCAAGACCCAGCAGAAAATTAAACTCGAGGCAGGGAAGAGAAGGTGACTGGGCTGCACATCTGCCAATTGCCACCTGCCGGTCACCATGCATGTCACCCACACCCTGCATCACCAGCAGTAAACACCCAGTGGGGCTGCCCCGCACACAGATGACAGACAAGAACGTTTGTGCCTGGGTTGCACCAGGACTTGCTGGGAGAAAAGCTGGGGAACTTTCTGGGGTAATGGAGATGTTCTGTATTACATCTTGATGAGGGCTTAGATTACAGTGACATGGGCCAGCACCTGCTGAAACTCATCGGATGGAACACGTCACACCTGCACATTGCAGCGCATGTGCATTTTACCAAAAACATCGAGCTCAGAAGCACTCACAGGTGCTTCTGAAATCCGGAACTTTAGACAAGATACTGGGAAGGGGGGCGGGTAGGAGGCCAGAGAGATGCGTTACAAGGCAAATGCAGCATTAGCTAAGTATGGAAGCTACATAGCAGGCACATAATTGTTTAGATAGGATTCCTGCAAGTCTCCAAGGAATACTGTCCTGATAAAAGGCAGGAAAAAAAGGAATGGCTGACACGGGACTGAGTTCCAGAAGAGTTCAAAGGCACAGCAACAGCAAAGGAAACAGCGCCCAGAAAGGGGGAAAAGCTGCATCCTGGGCTTGGCACTGTGGTGCCAAGGGTTAAGCAGCCTCCGGCAAAGCCGGCATCCCAGATGGGCATCAGTTCGAGTCGTGGCTGTTCCACTTCTGATCCAGCTCCCTGCTAATGAGCCTGGGAAAGCAGCGGAGGTTTGCCCAAGTGCTTGGGCCCCGGCTATCCACATGGGAGTCCTGGAAGCATTTCCTGGCTCCTGGCTTCAGCCTGGCCCAGCCCTCAAGGGCTGTCAGGAGGTGGCCCGGGGCTGCGGGCACCATGGGATCGGCCTGCTCCTGTCTCCCGGTCTTCCACTCAGTGACCAGTCTGCTGAGGATCTGACCCCTGTTCAGAGCCAGTAATGGGAACCAAGGGCACGAAGGGGTCAGCCTCGTGTCTGCAGCATGTGCTGTGTGATCTCCACCCCCACCAGGACTGCACCAAACTAAAGGAAGCTTTGAGGTTTTCTGAACAGTAGCTATGTAAAACATCGCTTGTGCAAGGCAACAACGCAAACTTCCCAGGGTCTGATGCACAGACCACACCTACCCTTGGTGGGGAGCAGTTTGGAGGTGACCTCCAGTGTCTCCAGGGGTTCCAGGCCAATGTTTTCTAAGGTGACGACGAGCTGCTGCGTCTCCCCGTTGAACAGCTGCATAGACACGTTGGTAGATATCTCGTCACCAGAGGAAGGCTGCAACGAGTGTGCCGATCTAAACCAAAAGCAGGGAGAAGAAACTGAAGGAAGAAACCAACGCTGTGCAGGAATGATTCACATCAGGGGTCGGTGCTGCAGTGCAGCAGGTAAAGCCGCTGCCTCAGCACCAGCAGCCCATGTGCGCGCCAATTCGAATCCCAGCTGCTCCACACCCAATCCAGCTCTCTGCTAATGTGCCTGGGAAAGCAGCGGAAAACGACCCAAGTGCTTGGGCCCCTGCACCCACGTAGGAGACCCAGAAGAAGCTCCTGGTTCCTGGCTTTGTCTTGGCCCAGCCCCAGTCATTTGGGGAGTGAACCAGGAAATGAGATTGATTCATTCTCTCTCTCTCTCTCTGCCTTTCAAATAATAAATTTAAAAAACTGATTCACATCAGATAAAAGGACGACCACATTTTGGCATTTCAGAAATAGGAGCTAGAGAATCTTGGCTTTGAATGAGAAATTTGGGAGCCAACCATGCTGAGAACAAGTCGGGTTCTGTAAGCCAGGCACACCATGTGCCTCGGTTCCAGGCTCCGATCAGAGGCACTTTTTTTCCCAAACCAAATCCTGAGAAAATAACAACACAACAAGCTGAGGCGACGTCCTCTGCACCATCTGTAACAGCACCCCTCGTTCCTCGGTCAGGGAAAGAAAGCCGACGCACAACCTCTCTGCTTGACCCTGTGCGGCTCGCACATCAGTCGCTCCCGGGGGAAGGTGTCAGGAGGAAACAAAACAGCCAGGACTACTCACTGGGTGTCTCGCACAGCAGGGCGCCCAGGCCCTCTGTGCTGCAGGAGAGAGGGGCGGAAGGAGGCACCCACAGCGCAGGAGCCCCAGAGCTGTGGGCAACAGCGTCAGAGTGAGACTGCAGCTGGCACTGCCACAAAGGCGCACCCGGGACGTGGCACTGGGACCCAGCTCCCACCGGCAGCACTGTCCTCCTCGGCCCTGCGCTGGCCCCAGAGCCTTCCCAAGGCAGGAACAATGTTTCTGTCAGTTCACTATCAGCTCCTAGCCAGACACCTAGTGTCTAATGGGGGTACTCATTAAGAATGCACTGAGGGCCAGCGCCGCGGCTCACTAGGCTAATCCTCCACCTGTGGCGCCAGCACACTGAGTTCTAGTCCCGGTCGGGGCGCCGGATTCTGTCCCGGTTGCCCCTCTTCCAGGCCAGCTCTCTGCTGTGGCCCGGGAGTGCAGTGGAGGATGGCCCAAGTCCTTGGGCCCTGCACCCCATGGGAGACCAGGAGAAACACCTGGCTCCTGGCTTCCAATCAGCGCAATGTGCTGGCCACGGCGGCCATTGGAGGGTGAACCAACAGCAAAGGAAGACCTTTCTCTCTGTCTCTCTCTCTCACTGTCCACTCTGCCTGTTAAAAAAAAGAATGCACTGAACAGACCGATAAGCACCTCAACTCTGAACCTCTTGTGTGGCACACAAGAGCATCTCGGCAGGGACTGCCCGAGCCCAGGACAGAGTGACCACCGCGTGTTCAGCAGCTGCTTGTTTTGTGCCTGGCCTGGTGCGGCATCTCTCAAGGTGCGCAATGCAAGAGCTGGTGTTGTGGCGTAGCAGGTTAAGTCACCGCGTGCAACACTAGTATCCCATAATGGGTGCCAGTTCAAGTCCCAGCTACTCCACTTCCAATCCAGCTCCCTGCTAATGCACCTGGAAAAACAGAGGAAGATGGTTCAAGTATCTGAACTCCTGCCACCCACACAGGAGACCAAAATGAAGCTCCTGGTTCCTGGCTTCAACCTGGCCATTGTGGCCATTTGGGGAGTGAACCAGCAGATGAGCTTGCTCGCTCTCTTTCTCTCTCTCTCTCTGGGCGTGTGTGTGTCTCTCTCTGTAACTCTGCCTTTCAAATAAAAAAAAATAATAAATAAATCTTAAAAAAAGAGACAGGAAGGCAGGCACAGCCCCATGTGTGCCCATACACGAGCCCTGAAGCCACAGGCCCAGCCTCAGTTCTCCTGCCAGGCTCTGTGCCCCCACTGCCCACAGGGTTCTGCTCCTTTGCGTGGCCGACCCACAGGGAGCCTGTGCCCACTGTTCCACGCGCTGAGCTTCCTTCTGTCTCTGGGGAGCTGCCTCTCCAGGGCTCTCAATCTGCCCCGTCCTGCTGTTCTCAGCCGCATTTCACTCCCTTCCTTACGGTCTGTGTTTGACCATGCTTTGTAGATCCCACACTGTCTGTGGAGCCTTCCTGAACCCCAGAAGGCAGGGTCGGCGTCCCCTCCTCTGGTTCTCACGTTACAGGAGTGGTCAGCAAATCCTGATGATTGCTCCAACCGCCTAAACCCCCCATCCCCACCGTCAGGGAGCTCTTCTAAGGTCATGGCCTAGGTCAGGGTCCTGGAGCACACGGTGGCGCCCACAGATGCTGGTGAGTGGATTTCAGCAGTCACAGGGGCCTTTATAGCAGCTGAGTTACAATCAACACTCACCTAATCAAGAGTCACTTGAAAAAACATTATTTTTTTATTTATTTGAAAGGCAGAATTACAGAGAAAGAGAGAGAGAGAGCAAGCACACTTCCGTCCACTGGCTCACTTCCCAAATGGTTATGAAGGCCAGGGCTGGGCCAGACCAAAGCCAGGAGCCAGGAGCTTCTTGCAGGTCTCCCACGCAGGTGCAGGGGCCCAAGCACTTGGGTTATCTGCTGCTGCTTTCCCAGGCCATAGCAGGGAGCTGGACTAGAAGTAAAGCAGCCAGGACACAAACCAACACCCACATGGGATGCCAGTGTTCAGGCAGCGGCTTTACCCACTACACCACAAAAGCCAGCCCAGAGAAATAGGGGGCCTTTTGAAAAACACGTCTTACACCATTTTTTCAGTAAGAGTCAAAAGGCAGTCATCCTGGCCTTCTGTGCCCCTGCTGGAGCATGTGTGGAGCGGGTGTCAGGCCCCCGTGTGCCTCTACCACTCAGCCGCACCCTGGGTGTAAACGGGCCATATTTGGTTCCCATGTCAGGGCCCCGCTTGCCTGTCTTGCTCAGCGGCAGCCACATTTTGTTGAGCCATTTGCCAGGTGATGGGCATCCAAGTTCTGCCCGCTTTCTGGACTATTACAAAAAATGCAGCTGTGAACATTCACATACAAGTTTCTGAGTCACTGTGTGCTTTCCTCGGTCTTGGGTAGATGCCGAATTTCTGAGTCATACGGTCAATTTACGTTCAACATTTGTAGAAACGGACAGGGTGCCTTGGAGACGGCACTCACATGGTGAGGGCGCCAGCGTCTCCAGCACCGCACACGGCCACCGCCTGTCTTCTGACGACAGCCACCCGGCAGGTGCGAGCAGGACCCGCACACCGTCCCAGCTCCAGAAAGACTGATGATGCTGCACACCCCTCCAGGTTGCTCATTAGTTCCTGGGAAGTCCTTCATGGGGAGAGGGCTAGCCCATTCTTCTGTCAACCTTTTTAATTTAGTTGTTTGCCTTCTTAGTACTGAGTTTGGGTGTTAAGTAGAGCTCCTTACCAGAGACATGAAGTACAAATATTTGCTTCCAGCCTGTGAGTTGTCTGTTCATTTTCTTAATGGTGCTTCTGGAAGCACAGCAGTTTTTAATTTTGATGAAGCCCAATTCATCAGTGTTTCCTTTTGTGGATCTTGCTTTTGGTGACATGTCAAAGAACTCTGGCCAATCCAAGATCATGAAAACTCTCACCAGCTTTCTTTTCAAAGGCTGGTGCTCTGAGCTCTCACAGTCAGGTCTGGGATCTGCTTCCGAATTCATGTTTCCTGCGTTTCACTGCAGTCCCCAGTCACCGATGCTTTCTCCACCTCTGACAAATGCTCCCAGCTGCCCACTGCGCATGGCTAACTCCTGCTCCCAGCCCCCAGCGGGGTCCTCAGGGCAGTGCCCATGCTGGTCCCGCCTTCTCCATCTCTCCTGCTAAACACAGCCTCCTTGAGCACCGAGCCCCGGAATGCTGGGCCCACGGTTTCAGCTCTGGCACCCGGCCCGCTGCCCAGCAGGCAACACGCGTGCATCAGACACACAAACGAGCTTAAAACCTTTCAGAAAATCCCAGACACATCTGATAAAAATAGCCAAAGGATGTCCAAGGAGTGTCACCCCTGAGGGCAACAATGAGAACGCCCCAAATCCAACCGCAAGGAAAGGGTGGTTATGCACTCCTGAGATATCCTCAGGGTGTCCTTTCTCTGTGAAAGTGTGAGGAAAAGCTTACTAATGTGATTTCAAAGAACTCATCTATGACACCGTGTTCAGACACGCGTTTTCCCAAGTGGCAGGAAGCACCTCCAAGCATTTACGGGGACTGGCTCCGGGCCTCCCGACACCCACTTCCCTTTCTCCTTTACGCTTCCCTGTGATGCTGAAAATCTAAAACAAAAATAAAACAATCCCATATGGGTGCCAGTTCGGGTTCTGTCTGCTCTACTTCCAATTAAACTCCTGGCTAATGGCCTGCGAAAAGCAGCAAAGGACGGCCCAAGTGTTTGGATCCCCGCGCCCATGTGGGAGACCCGGGTGAAGCTCATGGTTCCTGGCTTCGGCCCGGCCCAACACTCCCCATCGCAGCCATCTGGGGAGTGAACCAGAGGACGGAAGAGCTCTCACTCTGTGTCTCTCCCTCTCTTTGTGACTCTTTCAAAATAAATAACTACTTCTTTAAAAAATAAAATAAAATAGTTCTGTCAAAGAGAAGAGTGATTTTCTTAGATGCCCTAAGATCCTGACTGTTTTTGGAAGAATAATTTCACATTCGGTCCTAGCCTTAGTATGGGAGATCTTGACTGCTCCAATTTGCTCTGGGCAAAACACATGAATGACTACGCACTCTCAAGGCCCCCTCCTGCAGATTCTAGGCCTGAGAATGCTGGATGCACGCAGAGCCTGCGTGCCTCACGAGGGGAGGTTCCCCGGGGCTGCTTCCTGCCCGCGGCTGGACACCTGCGCTCGCCGGGTACCTGGGCAGGGAGGTGCTGATCTGCAGTCTTGGCAAAGCGGGGATGACTTCCACGGTAGAGCCGCTGGTCTTTATTCCCGGGAGGTGGTCCAGCAGGCAGTCACTGACAACACCAAAGACGGTGGCGTGGTAACCTGAGGCACAGGAAAACAGAGACGTCACAACTCCCAGCAAAGCTCCATGCCCTGCGTCCACTGCTGAAGTCCCCAACCAGCAAGGGCAGCCCTGCAGAAGACCTGGGTCCCAGTGCCGGCTCCATCACCTGCCGGTCCCTGCCCACAGCCTCAGCATCCCTCAGGCTCCTCCTTGGTGGTGGGGGTTACAACAGCACCTGTACTCCCATCCCACCAGGCTGACTGGGCCCAAATGGGGAAGCTCCTGTAAGCCATCAATCTCTGCACAACCCGTAGTCAGCATCTCAGCCCGGGACTCATTTGCTTTTCAGATTTATCCATCTCCACAGTGAGGATGACAGTTAATATTCCTTCCCGGGACATAATGCAATTTAATGAGTATTTGAAAAATGCTTCAGAACCTTCTGTTGAGAGACGAAAGTTCAAGAGCCCATCATTATTACTGCAGCGGCTTCGTGACGGGGCGAACCGGCTGTGTGTGTGTGAGCACTGCCGTTTAAGATGAGCAAATTTTCCACTGGTGAGATAAGCACTTGAAACTAGTTAAGCAAAGCTGTGGAATGGCTTTTGAAATTTAACTAATTATTGTCAACAACATTTACTGTGCAACAAAATGAAACCATACCCAGCGGCTCGAGGCTCAGGTGACAACCTGCCTACACGCGTGTGAGCCTGGGGTGTGCTCAGTGGAGAAGCCAGCATGGCTTTCAAGGGCTCCCGGGGCCCCAGCAGCCTCCTCGGCCCTCCTGCGGCTCCTGCTGGCTGGGAGCCGCTCTCTCAGCACCACTCCAGCTCACCTTCCCCCAGAGGGTGGGCTTGTCAAAACACCCCTGCAATGGGCAAACCACTGTTTTCCTCCCAAACCCACACCTGGACCCAGGGCCTCTCGCACTTCTCTTTCAGTAGGAACCTGATACATGTTCTGCCTGCTGAGCAACCACTATTTTATAATCCCTAATCAGAATCAGGCCTTTCCTTACCATTGCTGAAAATGGCTGTCACATGACAGTCTGATGACAAACACTTGGGGTCCACACGTTACTGTGCCCAGCAGTACAGGGTCAGCCTGTCTAGCTTTGTGCACAAGACACACCAAAGAACAACACCAACTGTTCTGCACAGAGACGCACGGCTCAGGGCCACTAAACCCACACAGGTGGCGGAGGAAGTGGAAAAGGATAGGGCACTCGCAAGACAGCACAGGCAGAGGAACAAAGTGTAACCCAGCAGGAAGGCTCGGCAGAGGAGCACAGAGATGGACCACACAGGGCTGGGGAACTCAGCCTGATGACGAGGGAAAGTGACTCCCACTGGCTGACCATGATGCCTTCAGAGGAGAGAGGGGTCTCCTCTGAGACCCCTCTGCTTTGGGGAGGGGAGGCAGTACACTTGGGTTGGACGTGTCGAACATGCGTGTCCCACCCACTGGACACCAGGGGGATAGCTGGGAAGTGCTGGGGCGCAGGCCAGGGAAGGGCACCCGACCCCAGGGGTGGTCAGCAGTCTGCAGGGCTGTGAGGCTGGGGACACCCTCACCACAGGTGACTTACGGAGGACAGAGAGGAGGACAAGAAACACAGAGCAAGGAGCACCTGTCAGAGGGCTGGGCTGCCCAGGGGCACCTGCACGAGACCAGCAAGACTGAGGAAGAAGGGCCAAAGAGGCAGCGGAAAATCTGGAGGGTGTGGTGTCACCGAGGCTGGAGGACAGAGCTCGCCACACATGCAGGGTGGCAAATGAGCACTAAAGTGCCAAGCAAACCAAACAACTGGTCCAGGTTTAGGCAGAAAAATGCCACTAGTGACGTCACAGACAGGAGTTAAACTCAGGACGCGGAGGGGTGCAGGACCATGGCACCGGCGGCAGAAGGGCTCAGCGTGCACAGCCAGCTCTCCCAAGAGGTCCAGCAGATGACAGGGGCTTCCTGAGAGCGCGTGGGACACCATGGCCTCAGGAAAGGTCAGGGTGCAGAGGTAGGAACCACGCTGTTGGAAGGCTGTCGGAGGAGCACAGGAAGGGCCCCGCCCACCGCAGCAGGGGCCTGGCAGGTGCCAATCACACCCCACACACTCGCACCACATCCCACAGAAAGGCAGTCTTTCCCCATCCCTTGATGGACAAGGACTAACGAGACGGGTGAGAGGCTCTGGCCCCCGGTGTACGGAGCAGCAGTGTGGCAGCCCCGCAACAGCAGCAATCGGAAAAGCCCTTACCGTTCACGGTGATCGTTCCAGTCGTCTGCGGGACCCCCACGAGTGTCACCGGGTACAGACCAGACTCGGCCGGAAGGGAGAGCGCTGCGGGGAGCGACTCGAACTCCACTCCGCTGGTCAGCAGCCCCTGCAGCAAGGCACAGAGCAACGTGAGCAGGACCAGCCTGCACCGCACGCCTGGCAGCCCAGAGCAAGGCAGTGGAAGGCTGCGGCTTCTAGAACCCACAGAGAACTGCAGAGCCCAGGCACACGTGACGCACGGGGCGTCAGGTCAACAGCCGCTGCCTGGATTCTGGCCCTCTCCACCATGTTTCTGATGTTCGCTTTGCTTTCTTCTTGTACCAAATGGGAATATGAACACAAAGGAAAAATTTTATTTATCTTTTTTTGAAAGACTTATGTTTTATTTGAAAACAGGAGGGAAACAGAGACAGAGATCTTCCATCTACTGTTTTACTCCACTAATGGCTGCAATGGCCGGGGCTGGGCCAGGCCAAAGCCAGGATCCAGGAGCTTCTTCCTGGTCTCCCACAATCTAAAAGATGTCAACAATCTACCAGTCAACTATTGGAAAATAAAATGTTTAAAAAAATTAACAAGACACCAAAAACTCCAACTATCTGGGAGTAAATCTAACAAATAATGTGCAAGATTTCGTCACAGTTACAGAACCCTGCTGAGATAAATTAAAGAACTCAAGACACAGAGAGTCCCGCCCTGTTGGGGGGGGGGGGGTCCACTTTCCACAGTTGGTAGTCAAGGCAGCCCTCAAACTCTCAGATCCAGGGTCGGCACTGCGGTGTAGCAGGTAAAGCCGCTGCCTACAACACCAGCATCCCACATAGCTGCTGGTTTGCATCCTGGCTGCTCCACTTCCGATCCAGCCGCCTGCCAATGTGCCTGAGAATACGGCAGAAGACGGCCCAATGTGGGAGATCCAGACAGAACTCCTGTCTTCAAGCCTGGCTCAGCCCTGGCTCGGGCGGACATTTGGAGAGTGAACCAGCAAAGGGACTCTGTGACTCAACTTTCAAATAAATAAATAATCTTTAAAAAGAAAAAAACAAACCTCTTTTATCTGTGGCAGGACAAGGCAGGAGAGTGGGTGTGCTGGGAGAAAGGGCGCGAACACGGAACGCAGGGAAGCAAGATGCCGGGCCTCGGTGTGAGGTCGGATGTCTGAAAACGGCATGCACAGATGTGCGCGTGGTGTAGACAGCTGGACGTGTGGAATGCACATGCACTGTCTAACCCTGTGCACAGGGAACACCGGCAGCAAAGACACTCTGGGAGCAGTGCGCACGCCTGCCGCCCGCATGTGAGGCACAGGCGTGGAGTGATCTGCCTGTGTGCGTGTGGAGGGGTGCAGTGGACAGGGCACGTCCATCTCTAACAGACACTCTGGCCTCTCTGTCTTTTTAGAACAGCCAGGGCGGTGTGGCCACCGCCGCCTGCCTGAAATGTGGGTGGCGTGTGCACGTCTGAAGCGTTCCACAAGTCAGCTTTCAACACAGCACCGTGGTATGCCGGCTAGACCCAAGTGGTGCTTTGCCCTTGTCTAAGTCTCCACCCTTGCTGATTTATTAAAATACATCATTTTTTACTTTTAAACCAGGTAAAAATGCTACTTTTAAAATGAAAAAAAAAATGTACAAGAAACAGCAGCAGGCATCTGACAATTCAACCACTTCGGGGTAAATTCCCCCCTTGGATTCCAAGAGCCAGACGGCCACTGTAGAGGCTGACCACGGCCATGTCCTGAGGCCAGTGCAGCCTTGTCCGACAGCTGGGGAAACACCGGTCCTCAGTGAGTCTCAGGACTGCAGGCTTAACACAGGCTCGGGGAGCAGCCACACGCAGCAGGGCTGCCCAACAGTCCTGGCCCACAGCAAACTGTGGCTCTACCCTGCAGTCTGGCCCAGCCAGCAGGGGCGTCTCTTCCAGGCAGACGCCATGCACCCCCACACCAGGGATGAGGCTATGGGCCCTCGTATCCCCAGGTCCCACCCAGGGCCTGGCACGGGGTATGGCCCTCAGCGGCTATGGGCCCTCGTATCCCCCAGGTCCCACCCAAGGCCTGGCACGGGGTATGGCCCTCAGCGAGACACCAACAGGAAGAGCCTGGCTCTCACCTGGAACACCAGTTATGAAACTAGAAGGAACCCAACCACGTCGCACACAGACAACCTTGGGAAGGGACCCACGGTAGCCTGAAGGTGGCACAAGTGCCCCAAGCAAGCATGGGCCCAGGGCGTGACTCTTCCACAACCTACGTGGCGCAGCAACACAGCACCTCCCTACAGCTCCCTCTGCGCCCGTCCCTGTGTCCCCTCCCAGCAGCACAACAACCTCCAGGAAGCTCTGTGCACTCCAAAGCGCTGACTTCCAACCTCAGCCAATGGGCGAAGCTCGGTGCATGCACAAGCCCCAAGTTGCTCTGTGCCTCCGATGTCTACTCGGCAGCAAGCATGAGACATGGTAATGCCAAAACACGACTTCACTCGCCAAACGCTTACCATCTCGGCAAAGCAGACATGTGTGCCAGAATCAGTGCCTCTAACACTAAGCAAAGACGCGTTTCAGTGACACGCTGGAGTTCTCGGTCACAGAGGCCCCGGCGGCGGTACGTACCATGTTCTCCACTCGGAGCTCAAACGGCATGGGGTTGTACACCATCAGCTGGACTTCACACACGTCCCCTTGAACCCACTGGAAATCTGGACACACACGAAAGAACCCTGGGGTTAGCAGTAGTTCTGAACTTCTCACGGGTTTCAGATCAGCCCGCTGACGGCTAGTTTTCTTCCCACCAAGGCGGTCCTGCCACGGCCATCGCAAGATGGGAGTTCAAAGCGTGGTGTGCCCCTGCTTTCTCTGAAACCACGCAAAGCAAGGTATCACCGTCGTCCTGACAGTACACACAGGGTGCCTCCCCCACCCTCTGCAGGCTGCGCTCCCGCTGGCACGCCCAAGGCTACCTCACAAAGCTACAGCTGGACCTGGTGTGGCCCTTACAGCACACAGCACTGAGGGCCCACAGGCTGTCAATGCAGGAAGAAGGCTGGGATCACTGGCAAGAGGCCCAGAGTGTGGGTCACCTGTGCCCCCCAAGACCATGCCTTCTCCACCCAGCCCACCTCCTTGTCAGTTGTAACTCAGCAGCCACTGGGGGAGACAGAACTCTGAAACAACCCCAAGACCCCAAGCACACCCTGAGTGTGAACATGATGACCAGGCCACACGACAGAACACAGGTGAATGGTTCCTGTAGACCTAATGAAGGTCCCCAACCAGCTGACCGAGTTCCTCAAAAGGGAGATTGTTCTAGATGGGTCAGACGTGATCAAGTGCACCCATAAAAGCGGCCAGACCCCTCCTGGAGGGGTGGCCCCTAGGAACTCAAGCCTGCAGCACAGGGAACTGAAGGAGGGGCTGGGGGCTAGCAGGGGAACAGGGACCTGAGGGAGGGGCTGGGGGCCAGTAGGGGAGAAGGGGGACCTGAGGGCGGGGCTGGGGGCCAGCAGGGGTGAACGGGGACCTGAGGGAGGGGCTGGGGCCAGCAGGGGTGAACGGGGACCTGAGGGCGGGGCTGGGGGCCAGCAGGGGTAAACGGGGACCTGAGGGGGGGGCTGGGGGCCAGCAAGGGTGAACGGGGACCTGAGGGCAGGGCTGGGGGCCAGCAGGGTATGGGGACCTGAGGGCAGGGCTGGGGGCCAGCAGGGTATGGGGACCTGAGGGAGGGGCTGGGGCCAGCAGGGTATGGGGACTTGAGGGAGGCCACCTCAGGGAAATGGCTGAAGACACAAGAGGGGTATGGACACAGACCTCCCCTGGACGAGCCTCAGATGTGGACACAGCCTGGGCACAGGACTGCACTAGACGCCCTGATCTCACAGACAGTGAGGAAATCAATCTGCATTGCTCTAAACTGGGAAGCTGGTGATTTCTTACAAAGCAACGAGACACCAGCAGGGCACCCACGACCGGCGTCCAAGATACGCCAGCAGGCAGAGCCTGGCTCTCACCCGGAACACCGGCTATGAAACTGGGAGGCAGAGAAGGAAAGTCAGACCCCGCGTGAGGCAGGAAGCCCTTCCACACGGCTGCCCCACTGCTGTCTGTATTCACCCCAGGGCAACAGCAGTGACCCCGGGGTCACAAGGCAGGCACTCGGGGTCTCAGCAGGTGGGCAAAGCTGCCTGGGAAAACCACCGCCGGCAATTTGTGCCACAGGGACTCTGGCCCAGGCCTGGGAACTCCGGGGGGGCCTAGCAGAGACATGGTGGCAGAAGGGAAGAAGAGACTTTTCCAGCATTTGCTGACCGGAATTCCTTGGCTTTCACGGAGCCTTCGGCTTCTGCAAACACCCTGTGCCGGGGCAGCCTGCACAGGGTCCAGGACCAGCTCCACCACACCGGTGATGATGACCGGGAGCCGGCATCTTGGATCCACTCACGAGAGGATGGCACCGAGTAACACAGTGCAGGACCGACCGCCAGCTGGTCAGAACCAGCACTTGTCTTATTTTACAAAGAAGGAAAACTCTACCTGACAGGCGTGGGGGCCTGCCCATCCTAAGCCCTGATAAATCATTGCTGAGACTCAAAACACAAGGCTGTCAGCTCCGGAACCCATGCTCTTTCTCCCTCCACCAGGCTGCCCCTCGGTAGCTCCTGGGACTCAGGCTGCCCTCCCTCTGCAGGGGTCTGACGTCAGCCTCTGGTAAGCTGCAGGGGCTTCTCCACAAAGGGGCCAGGGCAGCTGTGCTCATCCCACCTGCCCCCTCCACCCTTAGCAGCCTCCCTTGGCCTGCAGGGGACTGGCACCCAGCCCACCCCCAACCAAAGATGAAGAACTCATTGTGTCTTAAACAGCTCCTTATGCCTGGTATCACAGATCCGTTCTCTCTCATGGTCAAAAAATCATCATTGTGCTTTCCAGGGTGCCGGAAAGAGTAATTTGTACTTTGATGGCCTTCGTCCACGTCAGGTAAGTCTAAGGTCAATCACTGAGTCTGTGAGAAGCGATTTTTGTCAGAAACAGACAATCCCCTGCCCGTGCCCCTGCCTCAACAGTCCCTCCCTGAAACAGCAGGGGAGCAGGAGTCAGCGGCAGTGAGAACGGCCCATCCCCTGTGCCCGTTATCACCTGTGCAGACAGGTGCTTCCGTGGCCACGTCTGCCTCCGCCTGTGGGAGGAAGCGCTCCTGACTGCCTGCTGCATCCCAGAACCGAGCCCCAGGCACGCGAGTGCCGCTGCAAACGTCATCTGCAGGGACTTCAGGAATTCTCTCACCTGACCCTCAGCACAAGGCTCCCAGTGAGCTCCCAGCGTGCCCACAGTATGGAGGGCACATGTGCAGCCCAGGTGGCCTGGTCACACGGTGTCCAAGGTCATACGGTGCAGAGTGGGGGCTGTAGGGCTAGGCTGCAACCCCAGGCTGCCACATCCTGTCCAGGCCACACTGCCTGGCAGCAGTGACCTCAACCTGATCTGTGGATACCACAAGGTCCTTTCACAAGAGGGAGGAATCTATCTCTTCACCCCTCCAGGCCTTGCCTGGGACCCTGGGTGCCGTCATCCCTCTCAGAGCAGGGCCCAGACGAAGCCTGCACACAGGCACTCAGGCCGGGAACTCAGTGCAGGCAGAGCACAGGTGGTTAGCACTGGCCCTCAGGGTCTGCCTCACCTCCAGTGCCCGGTTAAAGATGGACTTACAGAGACTAGAATCTCAGGCTAAAGGGACACGAGTCTTCACACTGTAGGCAGAACTCTGTCAAAAAGCTATCAGAAGTCGCGGAACAGAGTCTACTCTCCCACCCGTGAGTGTTCAACAAACACCATGCGTCTCAGCTGAGCCTCCAGTTACAGGCATTTCAGAAAAGCACGAAGTCTGACATCACCCACTGAACGAGCAGATGAGCAGGCACTTCCTACTGTGATGGAAACCGTACCACAGAGGACAAGAGCGGAGGGCGTGTGGCACGGCGGTTCAGACACCACTGGGGATGCCTGCATCCCGGATCAGAATGCCTGGGTTTGCATCCCTGCTCCACCTCCAATTCCAGCTTCCTGCTAACGTGCACCCCGGGAGGCAGGAGGTGACAGCTCGGTACTCAGGTCCTTGCCACCTGGATCACTGAGTTCTGGGCTCCCGTCTTTGAACTGGCCCGGCCCTGGCTGTTGTAAGCGTTTGAAGAGTGAACTTGTGGATGGAAGATCTCTCTCCACGTCTCCCTCCCTCCCTCACTCTCTCTCAGTCTCTCCCTTTCAAATAAAATGAAAATAAGTAAACAAACCGTCAGTCCCTGAGTGCCGAGCTAAGCCGAGGGAAGGAGACGGGCCCTGCCGTGCCCTGGCTGGCCGGCCCAGGGCAGGCGATGTGCACCCCTCGGTCTCCACCCTCTCCGTGAACAGGCACCTGCAGCACCAGCATCCCACCACGATGAGAACTCCCACCTGGTGTCGGCGCCGGGCCTCGTTCACAAAAGGAAGCCCATCAACTGCTTAAGAACAAAGAACAGTAATGAGGCTGGATGCTGGGCACGAGCCACAAAGGCAGAGACTCCAAGCCAAGCTCCGAAGCCTTGGGTTTAAGGCTCTGATGTTGCTGTCTTTGAATCCTTAATAATGTTGTAACCAGGGGCCCCGCGATCCCCTGCTGTGCTGGGCCCCGTGGATCACACAGCTGGCCTCAAGAGGAGGAGCCTGGCCTCCAGCCCCTAAGCCCTCCGTACAAGTCTGCTCTAGAGCCTCTCTGGCCCCGCCTCCCCAGCGCTCAGTCTTTGCTCAGGCTCAAAGGGGAGGTACCCAGGAGCACCTGTGCTGTGCTGGCCTGTGGTTCTGGAGAACGCTCACCGACATCCTGTCTCCCTGTTCGACTCCCCATGCACTTGTCCGGCCTGCATGAACTGGGTGGGTAGGGGCAGGCTGCACCCCTCTGGCTTAGCTCAGTGCAGCCCAGTGTCAACGTGGTTGGAATACTTACACAGCCAGGAGCTGGGCTCACATGATTTACTGAACACTGACAGCAAAGGACAGAACGGTGTACAGGTGGCTGCCACGCCACCATGAAGCCAGGACGCTGTACCTGAGCCCTCAGGAGCCAGGCGTCATCTGCATCTAATTGGGGCCCACACCAGGTGCGCATGTGCGTTAGAGCAAACCAGAGAGCACCCCTCGGAGCGGGATACTTGGTCTGGGGATGTGCGAGCCCAGCTCTTGGCTTTGCCACTAACCAGCTGAGTAACCTGTAGGAAACCCTCTCTCTGAGTGTGTTTTTCCGTCTATAAAAGGAGATAAAAATCAACTCCTCCAAAATTAACAAGACAACTAAAGGCACAAAACTACGAGCCAGCCTCTTCTCAAGCAGCGTCTGAACGAAGAAGTGATCTGCAGGGACAGAGAGCACAGGTCTGTCTAGGACTCCCACCTCGGCCTCGCCCTGCAGCGGAGCAAACAACTTTACCTCCAGACGCACTGTTTCCAGGGAGTTCTGACAGCCTGCAGTTGCTGGTGATGGTTACGGTGAGGCCCTGCCAGGAGCTAAGGCCAGCAGTGCCGGATTACAGGAGACACACTCACTACGATGAGGAGCTCCACACAGCGCTCCGGTGTCCCTTCTGCCGGGGACAACGCGGCACTGCGGACAGCACAGACTGGGCTGCGAGGCCAGTTCCCCCGGCAGTGAGGTCCTGGGCAAGCTCCGTCCACTCCATTCACTCTTTCATTGTGCTGTGGGCACTAGGGACGGGGCAGGGAGCAGCACAGAGCTCCCGGCCTCTTGCTACATTGCGGGAGGGAAGCCATGAAGAGGCAAACGTCTATTTGAGTAGGGGAAAGGCACTACCGAGGGGCAAGCTAGGGATGCTGAGGGCAGGGTAGCCTCCAAAGTGCTGGGAGGCCGGCGCCGCGGCTCAATAGGCTAATCCTCCGCCTAGCGGCGCTGGCACCCCGGGTTCTAGTCCTGGTCGGGGTGCCGGATTCTGTCCCGGTTGCTCCTCTTCCAGGCCAGCTCTCTGCTGTGGCCTGGCAGTGCAGTGGAGGATGGCCCAAGTGCTTGGGCCCTGCACCTGCACGGGAGACCAGGAGAAGCACCTGGCTCCTGGCACGATGCACCGGCCGCAGTGGCCATTGGAGGGTGAGCCAACAGCAAAAGGAAGACCTTTCTCTCTGTCTCTCTCTCTCTCACTGTCCACTCTGCCTGTCAAAAAATAAATAAATAAATAAACAAAGTGCTGGGAGCAGCAGATTCCCCCTCTGAGAAGGCGACATTTGAACAGAGACCCAAACTGCGTGACTGTGAGTGAGGCAGGGACAGCAGCGGGACAAGGTCCAGGCAGAGACCAAAGCCATGGGACCGGGACAAGTCGTGGTGTTCAAAGAGCAGAAAGGAGTCACGTGGCTGGATCTGAGAAGCAGAGGTGAGAGAGGCGGGGGGTCAGGACAGGCAGGTGGCGGGGGTCAGAACGTGTCGGCCACGTTCTGGAGGAGGCACGGGAATCAAAAATGGAAATAAAGAGGCAGCACAGAAAGCGCCGAGGATCAAAAGCCGAGAGCGAGAGAGCTGCCGGCGGCCTTGGGCCTGCACACCAAAAGGGGACCAAGGGTGGTCAGCCTCTGGCCAGGGCCAGCCCTCCCTAAGCTCGGGCTCCTTGTCTAGGAAATGCAGGCCCCTGCCCCCTGCCCCTTGAGTCATGGGGACGCACAGGCCAACCAGCATGACGGGCGATCCCCGCCCCACATGCAAGGAGACCCTGGGGTCTGTCTCCAGGGCAGTGAGGGAGAAAGCTCAAGCCATGGCCAGGCCTTGCAAAGGACACCAGGACACAGGTCAGGGCAGGCCTGGGGCACACTGTGCCCTGGGCCAGTGACAGAAGAGACATGAGCGGCTGTAGCTGGGAAGGGGCGGGGAGATTGGAGAAGGAAGGGCAGAGGCAAGGTCTTCAAGAGAACCAGGGTTCTGCTCCCCCTCTCCCCGCATTCACAGGGAAACAGCACCAGGGACACGGCCCAACCCCGGAGCGGAGCTTTCTCTGCTGGGTGGGAAGTCGGCACGGACCGTGTGAGATCACGCTCATCTCCACTGCCACTCGATGAACACAGCTCTTTCCAGTTCCTGGGACCTTCCTGAAAACGCCTTCGATGAAACGGATCTTTAAAACTCAGCTCCACGGACAGCTGCCTGCCAAAGGCAGCCAACCAGACAAGCTTCCGCGGGAGGAAAGGCACACACGTGGCCAGCCTGGGGCTCTGCGCTGACATCCAGAGGCGCCAGGGGCAGCGGGAGGCAGGGCGGGGGACAGAGCTGGGGCCACGGGGCCTACCTATCTTCTTGTTGCGCTCTTCCCCGCGGTTGTGCGCGATGATCGGCGAGTAGATGAAGGGGCTCTTGGCCGACACGTTCTGACCCAGCGCGCTCTTCATTTTCTGTGGCCGGAGGCTGGCGGGGAGGTTCAACAGCTTCACGCGCCTGTGACAAATGGCACAGAGACGTCAGCGGCCACAATGGCCTGGCCTCAGACACAGGACGTGTGGGAGCAACAGTGGATCGGTCAGAGGAGATGAACCAAAGGAAGGGAAAGCCCTCAAAGTCAGCAGCCAGGCAAGGCGGCCAAATGCCACACACAGTGAGCCCAGGAGGTCCCAGAAACGCGCCCGCCCCGGGGCAGGGGCACAGCCGCTTTCCCCTGGCCCCACAGACAAGGTCCAGGGTGAGCCCCCACTGCTACTGCAACCAGCAGGCTGGGCTGCCCTGGGCTCCAGGAGGTCAGAGGCCAACAGCACCTCTGCTTTCCCGTCAGTGCCACCTGACCCTTACTCTGCCTCCCTGGGGTGGGTCGGCTCACAGACACTCACCGAGAACCAACCCCACACTTCATCTGTGTGGTCTCACTGACGCATCACATCCACTGTCTCAGCTTGGGTGTCGTTACCAAACAAGAGATTAAGTGCACAGCCCCAAATCCCACAGCTGGACATGGATGACAGCAGGAGATGCTGGCTCTGAAACCATGGCGGGGGGGGGGGGGGTGTCTCTCCTGGGAGATTGTCTTGGCAAGGTGGTGGATCAGCTCAGGAATACTGCTGGGTCTGGGACCCAGACGACAAGGAGCCCCCTTTGGATGGGGGAGAACAGGTATGACAGCAACCCTGCGGCAACGCACCTGCATGCCCCTCCACCCCCACCTCCCAGAGATAAGGCCACGGGAGCAGCTCTGACCCCGGGGAAGGGGTGGGAGCCAGGCCGGTCCCTCCCAGAGGAAGCATGGCAAAGCGATACCCGGGCCTCCTGCTTTCTCCCTCCACGACTGTAAGGCCAGACGCAGGGAAGGTGAAGCAGCCAGGACCACGGAGCAGCCCCAGAGAGCTCGGGGGCCTGGAAGAGGGCCCGGCTGGCATCAGACTTCATCGCGGCAAAGCACTGAAGGCAAGGTCAGCCAGAAAAGCACCCTGCTGAGTGGTCATAGCTCAAGTTTCTGCGTCTATGTCATTTTATAAAATATGCCCCCACCACCACCACAGAAAACTGTCCAAGGTCCTCCCTAAAGACAACATAATTTGTTTGGCACAGATCGCCACAGAACTCACGCATTCAGCCTGTGACACTGCCTGTGGTGGAGCAGGATCCCCGGGGCAAGCAGCCCCAGAGAAGGAATGTTCTTTCAGATTCCATCTGGAAAGCCTGGCTCTGCTCAGCACACCGTGGCTAACTGGAATCAGGCAAAGCAACCAAAAACCAAGTGGACGGGAGGGAAGAGACAGAACAAACAGCACCCCTTTCTCTCCTCCCCTCTTAGTTCCTCAGCCTGCCTTCTGGGGAAGCGTGGAAGGCAGCACTGGAGAGCAGGTAACAGAAGGGCGATGGCTGTGAGAGGCCTCACCGGGCCACAGGTGGAGGCCGCCCACGCTCCAGGTCCTGCACTGACCACACTGCAGGGGAGGACAGGACCTCCCCGCTCTGACTCCCGAATGCAACAGACATTCCTCACTGGCTCCAACAGCCCTGGCTTGAGAACTACTTCCAGGAGGATACCAAGTAGGGGAGAAAATGCAGGACCAGGGCTCACAACTGCTGAGAGCACAGGGCCCGCACCCTGGGCACCTGTGAGGCTGACAGCTTGCCTCAGTGCTGGGCCTCTCAGCCTCTGTGTGATTAAATGTGTATGATCCCTCCTCACGCTGCGTAATTAAACCTAAACTTTAAGTTGCAAAAGCACCAAAGGCACTCAGAACTCTAACTGGAGGATTCAGATCCTTGATTCTTAGCAATTTCAATGCCTTCAGTAACTCTAGGGCTCTTTGCCAGGTAGGAGCTCAGCGATAGCTCCTAAAAAAACAGACTCCCCACCCATCACCACCCCAACTCGGAGGCTCACTGGAGAGCGGGAAATGGCACCTATTTCTTCTTTAATAAGGTGTGCTTTTGGTCTGCATGGTTATTTGTGGCTGGTGCTCTAACTACTGGTCATCCCCCTCTGTGGGCAATTCTGTGGAGAATCAAGTGGAAGGCTTGTAATCTGAACTGACTGTCCTCGGCAGGACCTCCGGACAGCAGTGCCCACGGAGGGCTTGGCAGCCCTCCTGGCAGATGAGGTCACCCTTGACCATGACTGAGTCCCTGGCAGTTAGCACAGGGCCAGACCCGTCTTGGGCACTCAATACATATTAGATTAATTGAATTCTGCAATAGAATTAAAATAGAAATGCACTTTGTCTCCTCTTTTATTATTAATTTGCATCATAATTACTTGAAACCATTTAGGGGTGAGGTTAGTTCAGGCTCTCCTGCTCCAGAGAAGAGGTAAGTATTTTCCTGTAAATTGCTAAAACGGTTTTATCGTCAAAAACTGAGAGACTTCAACAGAAAGGAAAGCGGCTTCAATCATCTGTTCTGGCACCAGAATCAGGAGGAGGGCTCTCCTCAGGTGCGTGTGACAGCTCTGTACCGCAGGTGTGCTCCCTCCCTCTCCAGCACAGGCAGGGACCTTCCAGGCAGCTTATGCGTAGCACTAACAAGGTGCTTCACTCTCCACAGGCACCTCCGCTGAGGCTTCCTGCAGCCAGCAGGGGGACGTGCAATATTTTTTTAAATTAAGCGTTCCTGGGCATAGGACTTTGAAATCATCGGCTACTACATTAAAAGAGCCACAGACTGGATTGCTGAGGAAGACTATGGCCCAGTCCACAGAGCTGCTGTATAGGACTAGCCAGCAAAATACCTGGGACAAATACCCATGCAGAAAGACGGGTTTATGTAGCTCACTGTTTTTGGAGGTTCAACTCCAAGACTGGACGCGGCATCTGGTGTGCGTCTCTGAGGGCAGCAGATGGCAGGGGTGGAGCGCACACAGAAGAAGGACCCCCTGGCCAGCCAGGAAGGGGACACAACCGCTGGGCCGACTCAGGCATCCACAATCACATGAGAGCTATCTTTTCTGGGTGACACCCACCAAAGACCTGGGATCTCCCAGTAGGCACTCCTAGGCCGTGGGACTGCAGGAGGCTTCCACCCTCGCATCCCATCAATGCAGGATCTCCCAGTAGGCACTCCTAGGCAGTGGGACTGCAGGAGGCTTCCACCCTCGCATCCCATCAGTGCAGGACTTGGCTCTGACATCATGTTCCAACTCTAGGTGAGGATGAGAAGCAAGACTGAGGAGGAGCAGACCACCTGCATGCGGTGCCTCTAGTTAAGCATCCCATACCAGCTCGCCGGCCGACTGCCAGGAACCAAGCACCTGTGACAGGCAGCTGCCGCCCTCAGTCAGCACCCCCACGCCCAGCCGCCTCTCTCTGATGCCTGAGAACATAACTCTGCAAGGTGCTGCCTGACTCCTGCCAAAAGCTCACTTAGGAGAAATCACATTCACCAGGCAAAGCTGATGTGTCAGCAGTCCATCCGTCATTCTGGACATTCTTGGTGGTGGTGCTGGAGCAAGCCAGACAGCAGCCAGCCAGCCACACCGCTGGCCGTCGGTGAGCACACTGGGGCGACACACCCTGCGTGTGCACAGCCGACTGCTGGGACTGGAGGAGACCTCTGCAGTGATGTTGTGCAGGAAGCCATCCTCTGTACCCAAGGTCTCCCGAGACCCCACGAGCCTCGTCACCAGGAAGACGTGTCTCCCCAGGGGGACTGGACGTGTCTGCTCATGAGACAGAGGACCTCAGCACCCAGCAGGCTGACTTCTTGTTGGCCACAGCCGGGTCATGCTTTGCCCCTTCCAGCTCTCACATGGTACCTTAAGACTACTAGGTACTAACAGAACTTGTCCTTTTATTTTCCCATCGCGCCCTTGCTTTCCCATCACTCTGGCAGGACTATTTTTAATGTATATTTATGTGTGCTGCTGCAAACGCTCTAGGAAATAAGGCAGAACAGCACCCGCACAATAACCACTTGAACCATTTCTAGGCGAGCCGAGCAGGCTAGACTAAGAGTCTAAGGACGAGTGTCTTCACTGATCAAAACGCATCCAACAGCACTCACCCCCTTCCCTTCCTGCCCCTAACAAGTCAGTCCTGATGCCACCAGGGAGGGCAGAGCCAGGTGGGTGCCTGCACCGGCCCAGCATGGGTGACGGGGTCCAGGCAGAGCAGGACGGGCCCATGGGATGGGTGCAGCAGTGGCCCAGCACAGGCAGGTAGAGCTGCACAAGGAGACACACAGGACAACAACAGGTGACAGACGAGAAAACAGAGAGGTAGCTGTCCACGACAGTGGAGGGCAGGGTCCTCACTTCCAGAGAAGGGGCTGCAGATGTGAGACACCTGCAACACAGCCGGCTGGGCTGGGCTGCAACTGCAGGCACCCACATGACCCCGTGGTTTTCAAGGTGTCCAAATACAGAAATAACTCCAGACATAACCCTGGGTGCACGTAATACATGTACGTAAACAGACACTCTGCCTAGCAGGCCCTCCGGGGGCAACGTGTACACCCAGCACCTGCGATCTCGTTCTACATGCCATCCTCCACTGCAAGGAGCCAGAGCTCTTGAAGAAATGGCTGACTGCAGGGCTGGAGCAGGGGAGTGTTAGATAAAACGAACCCTACGCATGTGACAAAGGACACAGCCGTCTTCTTGAAGGGGCCCCCACTGGCCAAATCAGGAATGATGCAAGCATCAGAACAATAGGATGGAGTTTATCATATAATAATATGTTACAGGAAACCATAAGTATACATATAGCAAAGTAGGCAGGTGGACAGATGGGTGGAAGGACAGACAGTGGATAGATAGAAAGATGGATAGATAGAAAGACGGTCAGACAGACTGGTAATCGACAGATATATAGACAGATGGGCAAACAGAAAGGTAGGTGGGTGGATGGATAGATTATAAAAACAGATGGGGAGAGAGAGACAGGAAGATGGATAAATGGATGGATGGACAGATGAGAGGGTGAGAGTGACAGAGAGAGATGACAATCGGATGAGAGACACATGGACCAACACAAGCACTCCTCATTTCCTAGCTCCAGCTCTAAGTAACATGAATTTTCAAGAGTAAATAAAGTCACATTTCATTTCATAGGGAGCGATGGATTTACTTCAGCTGACATAACTTAATACTTGTATGTATAGGCAAAAGCATTAACTGGCAGGAAACGGTAAAGTCACTTTAATCAGTGCAAGAGCTCCCTGGAGCTTCCAGAACACGGACCTGCAGAGACCTCTGCTGCTTCCACTGCACTTCCCCAGCGTCTCACTCAGTCCTCGCAGGAGCTCGGCACCAGCGGCTCACTCTGCGAGGAGGAGATGAAGGCACAGAGAAGCGAAATGGTTCTCCCACAGTCACACGATTAATTACAGAAAACAGAGTTTGGATACAAGTCTACTGGGCAGAATCCTATGGTTTTTCCAATTTTACATTAAAGGAAGTTATTAATGTTTGGCCTTAAGAAGTCCCATCAATAACTGTTAGCTACAGTTCCTCCTTCCTGAAGCCCAGAGAAGTGCTTACGCATCAGATGCCTGTGACGGAGAGGGATTCGGAGGAGGAAGCTCCCACGGCCTGTTCCAGAAGCACGACCCAGGGCATATCTCTGGAGAAGAAAGATCTTGCTTGGACAGGAGAAGAAAAACACTAGAGGCTGAAGAATTACAGAGCAAGGACATCACGTTTGTCCTAATTCCTTATCTTTCCAAGCAGCGGAAACTGAGGAGAACAGCACACAAGCAAAAGCTGGCAAGCACGTTAAAGTAGGCGAATGTGTATCTGCGCATGAAAATCAATCTTGGATAAAAACACAGGCCCCCAGACCCAGCCCCTCTAGCAGACCATGTCACGAGCTCAGGAAGAGGCAACACACCTCACAAAATAGAGCGCTGTCCACGGCCTCCCTCTCGGAGGAGGGAAGGGCAGCTCCCACCAGTGTGCTGTCTGGCCCCACAGCATGGCCTCTGTGCCCGGGACAGCATGGCAGGCTGAGTGGGTTACAACGCACTGCATGGGGCCTGGACTGAGGGCTGACTCCTAACGTCCACTCCCCCACCCCCGCCCCAGTGGCCAACAATCCTGCAGCTTCACCGCCATCATAAGGTTTGGGGGCGTGGACCTGGGGCGGTGGAAAGCACAGCGACACTTGTCGAGGCCCCTGGGAGGATGGCCCCCACCTTTCCTTCTGTTTTCCTGGACACTGTGCGATGAGGATGCGAGGCAGGGAGCTGCTGCTGTCACTCTGACACCACACCAGGCCTACGTGATCCATGCACTGTTGGGAAGTGTGGGCATAAAAATGTCTCCAAGAAGAAGAAAACGTGGCCAGCGTTGTGGCTCAGTGGGTTAAGCAGCAGCCTTCAAAGCCTGCATCCTACTTGGGTGCTGGTTCAAGTCCCGACCGCTCCACCTCTGACCCAGCTCCCTGCTGGGAGCACCTGGGAAGCCAGTGGAAGATGGATGGCCTAGGAATCTGGGCCGCTGTCACCATGTGGGAGACCTGAATGCAGCTCCTGCTCCTGGCTTCAGCTTGGCCCAGCCTGTTGTGGCCATCTGGGTAATGAACCAGCGGATGGAAGACCACTCTCTTTCTCTAAGTCTGCCTTTCAAACAAACAAATAAATCTTTAAAAAAGAAAAACAAATCTTTTAAAAAGAAAAACAAAGGGCTGGTGCTGTGGCATAGTGGGCTAAGCTCCACTTGCAGGGCCAGCATCCAACATGGGCATCAGTTCAAGTCCCGGCTGCCCCTCTTCTGATCCAGCTCTCTGTTAATGGCCTGGGAAGGCAGTGAAAGATGGCCCAAATGAGTGCACCCCTGCTCCTGTATGGGAGACCCAGAAGAGGCTCCCGGCTTCAGATCAGCCCAGCTCTGGCCACTGCAGCCATGTGGAAAATGAACCAGTGATTGGAATACCTTTCTCTGTTGTTCCCTCTGTCTGTAACTCTAGCTCTCAAATAAACAAATTTAAAAAAAAACTTTAAAAAAAAGAAAAAAAAAAAGACAACAGAGATTCACTGAGTGTTTCTATGGGCCAGGAACTATGCTGGTGCTGGTGTATGTAGGCGCCATGGCGAAATAAAACCAAACAGCCCGTGAAGGGGCCATTTCTAAGCCTGTGGGAAACCTGAGAGCGAAGCTCAGAGAGGCTACGTCCTTGTCCAAGGCCCCAGGTTAGTGGAGAACAAACCCAAGGCCTCAAGTCTCAGCTCCAGGGCTGCCTGGACGGCTCAGCCTCCCTCCCCTCCGGCGTCTCTGGGAGATCAAGTCCCCTCTTGGTGGCCATGCCCTGTGAGGAACAGCCCTTTCCAGCTCCACTGATGAGAGGCCTGCTCGCATCAAAGGCCCAGAACGTTCCATGAAGTGCAGAGTGCTCTATTATACAAGGTTTTCTAAATTTAAAAATGATCCAAGCCACGATGCAGATAAAAATTAAGAAAGGCTTTTCTAGTCTTTTATTAAAAAAAAAAAAAAAAAAAAAAAAAAAAAGAATCATGCCCTTAATCCCAAATCAAACACTTTCCACTCGACGCCTTAGAGAGAAGCCCACAAGGAAGCCCCCCCTTCCCAGCAGGCAGGGGGCACGGCGGAGCACCTGCGCTCTCCTCGGGCCCACCCATGCCTCACTGCTGCACATCCCTCCCGAGACAGAGCCAGTGGCAGCCAGAGCAAGCCCTCAGGCTGCAGCCCAGCCTGTGGGCACTGCCCTGGCCAGCTCCAGCTGAGCAGCCACTCAGGAGTGCCCTTTGGACGCCTGCCAGGAATATGTGTGCCAGGTGCCCTGCCAGCCCAGCTCTGGGGGTCACTCAGCTCTGGCTACACCACACCTGCCTTCAAGGAGCTGCGGGGAGAGAGACACTGAGCAGCCCCACGCCACACACTCCTGCTGCATGAGGTGCTCACAGAAGCCTCATGCCCTAGGGCTGTTCTCAATGTGGGGGCAGGCGGGGACCAGCAGCCCAACCCCAAGAAGACTGAGTGATTCCACAGACACCTAGGGTCACAGCACCCGCATCAGCAGCAAAGCCATGTCCAAGCTTCTTTACAGTCTTCAGATGGGTCAGGGACATGGAAATCACTTGAGGTCAGTTCATCCATTTCTACAGGTGCCCACTCTGTAGGAGTCACAGGCCTCCACCGTCTCAAGTCTAGACCCGGCAGGAGAGACAGTCACATGGGAAGGCAATTCCTGGACCACACACGATGGCGAATGCCAGGACGGAGGTGACGAATGTACCACGAAACCAGAGGACTGGCTTTGCACCCAGAAGGCAACAGAGCTGGCTGTGAATCTACAGGCACGGTGCGGGGAGGGGAGGCAGGCATTTAGCCTAGTGGTCAAGACACCACTTAAGGTGCCTGTTTCCCACATTCGAGTGCCTGGGCTCAACACCGAGCTGACTCCGGCCTCCTGCTAACGCAGACCACAGGAGGCAGTGGTGACAGCTCAGGTGATGGGGTTCCCGACACCCCTGTCGGAGACTTGGACCGAGTCTTGGCTCTGTGCTTCAGGACTGGGCTAGACCACTGCAGCCATTTGGAGTGAACCAGAGGACAGAATCCGTATCTCTCTCTCTCTCTCTATTTCTGTGCCTCTCGAATTAATCGTAGAAAGAAAAATCTCTCTAAAATAAATGAACAAAGGAATGAGTGACACCAAAGTCAGGGACAACGAATGCCAGGAGGAGGCAGAGCGCGTGCAAAGGCACCGAGGCCGGAAAGCTGCTGGCGTGTTCCAGAAGTTTCTCCCATTCCTGTGCTGCTGGGCCACGTGGCCCGAGAAAAAGGAGCTGACTGGAAGCTTGTAGGTAGGAGAGTGACGAGGTCACACTGGTCTCAGTCACAGCCCAGGCAGACCTGGGTCCGGATGTGGCTCTGCCGTTAAACAGGCAAGTGCCTGGGGTCACTGTGGGACGCCACAGGCCTGGGCTCTCGCGTCCACACGTCCCAGGATGGCTGTCAGCCGGGAAAGCATGGAAGTTCTTCTCCAGATCTCTACACATGGGGTGGGGGAAGCCCCGCCCACCTTACCTGACAATGGGGAGCTTGGTGAAGGGCACAGGGGGCAGGGTGAGGCCATCCGGGAGGGTGATGGGCTCCATGGTCCCAGGACACTTGGAGGTGTAGTTCTCCAGGCTCTGAGTCACATCTTTCTTCTCTGCAGAGAACACAAACACAAGATAAAGGCTCATAAACAGACGGGCAGCCGCGGTGTGTCCTGAGCGCCCCGCGGCAGACAGGTTCGGACACGGAGGCGAGGGCTGTGCAGGGCGTCCCTCGTGGATCCAGACATCCAGCAGCAGCTGCTCCACGTGAGGGCCTAAGGATGGAGGCAACATCAAGGCAGGCTCCTCGACGAGGTTTCCACTGGCCCAGGAAACGCGTCCGCACCAAGTTCCAAGGCAGCCAGCAGGCAGGACGGGAGGAAGAGTGTGCCTGCGACCAAACAGCACTTTCCCAGCTGTCACAAAGGGGCCAGGCTGGACGCCAGACTCGTCCCCAAGGAGTCTACAGTCTGTTCTGTGTGACAGATGTTTAAGCAAGTAATAATTAGAAATCAGCATTTCTGCGCGAATGCAGAGCTTTCTGAGATAAAGAGCGCTGTCCTGTACCTCACCCCGTCCCTCTCATCAGCAGGGAGGGAAGGAGGGAAGCGGCACCACCATGCCCGTGAGCCTGCTGTCTGGGACAGGCTGCACATGGACATTCAGACTCCTGACACCCACGCCAGAAGCAGCTGACCGGGCACCGACTCAAGACAGGAGCGTTATCAGCCCCCTTTTCCAAATGAAGAAAATGGAGACCAAGTGCAGTTAAATGCATGTGCGGCCGTCTCCCTAAAGGATTAAGGAAGGAGCTGGGGGTGAGTGGGGCTGAGGAGGGCAAGGCCTCTGGCCTCAAAGGTCAAAGTCACCATGGAAGGGAAAGGCACAGATCCTGAGGACCACAGCAGCAGAGGGGTCTGCGTGGGGAGGGGCCTGGGGCAGGGCAGTCAGACCCACGCCTGAAGAAATGGCTTGGTCCTTCCCCATTCCTCACGCAATCCTTTAAGGGACATCACTCAACCCTGCTGAGAGCCGTTTTGCTGCAGCAAGGAGCTAAGGAATCACCGATGATAAAATGAGATAATGCGCCAAACAACGGTGACCCACAGAAACCAGCACTGAATAAATCTAACCAGTGACAACTATAACGCCATCAGCATCCTGCTGCACCAAAGTAAATGTCAGAAAATGGACAGAGAGGGGCTGATGCTGTGTGCAGCGCTTACAGCCCAGAATTTGTCCACGGGGGAGGACAGTTTCCCCACCAAGCGTTTGGGGATCCTGAAACACAGGACACTGACAGGAGGGCCAATGCGTGGTGCGGAAGACGCTTTACTGAGGAAGGAGCCGGAGTCCATCAGTTCCAAGCTGTGTGCGCACTGGCACCATGACGAGCAGGCGGGCGCTGGTGATGATCTGACTGGCTGCCACCTCTGTGCTGCTCAAGTGGTACCACCTTTGGCCAGCAGGAGTCTCTCTGGGGTGGTCCTTGTGCCCATTTCTCATCGACAGCCTCCGTTCCTCTGGCTCGTCCCCAGCCCCAGACCTAGAACTGAATCCCTTCTCCATGGAGCCCTGAGCTCTTTCCGTGGGAAGCGGCATTTCAAGAATGGAATCTGGAGGCCAGGGCCCCTCACTATCTCCCTTGGCCTACACACAGATCAACTCAGAAAATGGTGGATGTGGTCACAGCATATGTGATTTTACTGTGAACTCTTTTTTAAAGGTTCACAAGTAAAGATATGGCTTTCGGGACACAAACTCCTTAAAGGGAAGAAAACCTGGCCATTGCCCATCCTTGCATTTTCTGAGCACTAATGCAGGCCAAGTACCATGCTGTGCTCTTCAGGCTACAGAATCTGGAAGGAGGGGCCGGCGTTGTGGCATAGCGGGTAAAGCCGTCACCAGCAACGCCAGTATCCCACATGGGTGCCGGTTTGAGTCCCAGCTGCTCCACCTCCAATTCAGCTCCCTGCTCATGTGCCTGAGAAAGCAGCAGAGGCTGGCCCAAGTCTGTGGGCCTCTGTACCAGCACAGAAGACCCAGACGGAGCTCCAGGCTGCAACCGGCCTAGCACTGGTCATTAAGGGTATTTGGGGAGTAAACCAGTGGACAGAAGATCTCTCTCTGTCTCTCTCTCTTTCTGTTATTCTGTCTTTCAAATAAATAAAAACAAATCTTTAAAAAAAAACTTGAAGGCAATAAATCTTGGTATATTTACAGAACTTCAATACTTTTTATACAAAATAGGTACATGATACTTTCCCACAAAGTTTCTGTAAAAGAAGGGGTAAAGAGAGGGTCCAGTGCAGTGGCACAGAAGGTGAAGCCTCCACCTGCAGGCCAGCATCTCACAGGTGCTGGTTCAAGTCCTGGCTGCTCCACTTCCGATCCAGCTCCCTGCTAATGGCCTGGGAACACAATGGAAGATGGCCCAAGTGCTTGGGCCCCTGCATCCACATGGGGGACCAGATGAAGCTCCTGGCTCCTGGCTTCAGCCTGGTTCACCCCTGGCCACTGCAGCCATTTGGGAAGTGAACCAGTGGATGGAAGATCTCTCTGTCTCCACCTCTCTCTTGATAATTTTGCCTTTCAAATAAATAAATCAATCTTTTTAAAAAATTCTTCAATTATTATTGAAACAAAAGGGAGGGAGGCTTTATTATCCCCTTTGGAACATGATAGACTAGCTCAAGGATAATCTGGAAAATCTCATTATGCATGGGTATCAGTGCTACCAAAATCTAATTTCTTTAAAGACTTATGTTCAGCACCCATATGGGATGCCAGTGCCAGAGGCAGAGGCTTAACCCATTGCACCACCGTGCCAGTCCCTAAACATTAATTTTTAACTATGATATTAACATTGTGGTAATATAAGAGTATGTCCATTTTTTAGAGGCATACTAAAGTATGAAGATGTGAAATGACATAATGTGGCCAGGATTTTCTTTTAAATAACTCAAACAAAAAAAGCAACAGATAAAATAAATACACAAAAAGCTTGGTAACTAGTGAATTTCGGTGGCTTACATTTGGAGATGCACCTTACTATGCTTTGTGCCTCTGTTTTTAAGATTTTTTTCAGCTGAGGAGGCTTCAAAAAGTTCATGAAGGAGCCAGCGTTGTGGTGTCGTGGGTGAAGCTGCTACCTGCAACACCAACATCCCATACGGCTGCTGGTTCAAATCCCAGCTATTCCACTTCTGATCCAGCTCCCTGCTAATGAGAAAGCAACAGAAGTTGGCCCAAGTGCTTAGGTCCCTGAATCTCCATGGGAGACCTGGAAGAAGCTCCTGGCTCCTGACTTCAGTCTGGCCCAGCCCTGGCCATTGTGGCTACTTGGGGAGAGGACAGGCAGACGGAAGATCTCTCTGTCTCCCTCTGTCTGTAACTTCACCTTTCAAATACATAAAATAAATCTAAAAAAAAAAAAAGCTCATGAAAAACGTGTATTATGGAAAATCTATTCATGAATCTCAAAAATATTTTTTACTGAAACAAAGTTTTCTTTTAATTCCATTTTCCTTGAACATTTTGAAGGACAGGACATGATTTCTTCCGGGTCGCACAGAGAAACGGGGTCGGCTTGCATCCTCCTGTTCCAATCTGCCCAGGCACCCATGTGACAAAGGGGAGCGGGCACAAGGCCCCACGCAGCGGCTGCTGACATCTGCTCCACACACCCAGATTCTCACCCCAGAGACTCCGGTCAGTGGGAGGAGGACACTCATTATTCCACTAAAATTCAATACATCCTGTCCATGTTGACCAGAGTATCTGCCAGTGACTGTAGACAGAGCATCTAACGCCTTTGAAACTCAATTTTTCCACCCCAGAAATTAAAGAATTCACACAGAAAAACAGAGCATTCTCAATGAAAACGAGCTGTCGCCTCACTAAGCAGCAGGAAACCCGACGGCCAGAGCTTCCGACCATGAGCGGCTCCCAGGCCATTTTGCCATTCCACGAGCCGACGCCGGCGAGAACGCCAGCACGTCAGGATGTCACAGTTCACGCCTGCTTCTCCCCAGCATCCACGCGAGACAGCCGCGTCGGCACCCGGCCAGGTGCGGTTTTCTAAACAGGCGGACCACAGGTCGAGGACAAGCAAACGCGCCCCCGTTCTCTGGAGCAAAGTGAAGAAGGCAGAGGTGAAAGCAAGGCTGAGGCCGGACCCCAGCTGAAACAGTGTTTCCCGGATCTGTCCCCGGACTGTCAGCTAACAAGCGGGGACCACACTGACGCTCAATTCTCACAAATGGCACTGTTGGTCTGCGTGGGGAAGAGAGAGTCCCAGCACACGGCTGGTGGGAATGCGGCTGGGAAAACTCCATGGAGGCTCCCAAAGAAACTTAAAAGTAGATTTCTAGTCCCGCCCTTAGCTACCGACCAAAAGAGGGAGAACGGCCTTGTGCAGATACGTGCACCCTCATGTTCACTGCAGCCAAGACACAGAAACAACCAACATGCTCACTGGTGAGGGAGTGAATAAAGAACCGTGTGTGTGAGAGAGAGAGAGACAGAGAGAGAGAGAAACGGGATACTATTCAGCCTTAAAGAAGTACGAGATCCTGCCATTTGCCACAGCACAGAGAGAACTGGAAGACTTGCTGTGTGAAATAAGCCAGACACAGGAAGAAAAACACTGCATGATCTCATTTACATGTGGCATGTTTAAAAAGAGCTCAAGGGGGCCGGTGCCGTGGCTCACTAGGCTGGCTAATCCTCCACCTTGCGGTGCCGGCACACTGGGTTCTAGTCCCAGTAGGGGCGCCAGATTCTGTCCCGGTTGCCTCTCTTCCAGGCCAGCTCTCTGCTGTGGCCCGGGAGTGCAGTGGAGGATGGCCCAAGTGCTTGGGCCCTGCACCCCATGGGCCCTGCCTTCGGATCAGCGCGGTGCATCGGCCACAGCGCGCGGCCATTGGAGGGTGAACCAACGGCAAAGGAAGACCTTTCTCTCTGTTTCTCTCTCTCACTGTCCAACCCTGTCAAAAATAAAATAAAATAAAATAAAAATAAATAAAATTTTAAAAAGTTAAAAAAAAAAAAAAAAGAGCTCAAGGGGCCGGGGTTCTGGCACAGTGGGTCAAAGCCACTTCTTGTGATGCCAGCATCCCACACCGGAGCACTGGTTCAGGTACAGGCTTTGTGCTTCCAATCCAGTTCCCTGCCAGTGCACGTGGAAAACAGCAGATGGCCCAAGTGCTTGGGCCCCTCACCCAGGCGGGAGACCAGGAAGAAGCTCCTGGCTCCCAACTTTGGCTTGGCCCAGCCCCAACCACTGCAGCCATTTAGGGAGTGACCCAGCAGATGGAAGATCTCTCTCTCTCTCTGTAACTCTGCCATTCAAATAAATAAATAAATCTTTTAAAAATACCAAATGCACAAAGATATTCACTGCCCATATCAAGATGACACGTTAATCCACTCCACTCTAGTAGCCATTTTACTACCTATACAAAGAGTACTCAGAAAGCTCATGGAAAAATTCACATTTACATATATATATATAAATGCGTTACATATGTATAGATTTCAAACATGTCCGCATTAACACAAGCTTACCTCGTAATTCCATTTTTCCATGAACTTTCTGGAGGCCCCTCATAGGCGAGTCATGAAACCATGTTGTAAGCCTCAGACAGACACGCGGACCTTTATTTTAAGTAGGTAAATCAGGAAGAACAGAGTCACGGTGTCTCCAAAGCTGGAGGCCTTGTGAAACAACTGAGAGAACGATGGTCAGCAGAGCAGAGAGGACGTACAGCAACCGCGACTGAGCGACACAGGACGGCGGAGGCCCAGCTGCAGACGCACGCTCTTCTCAGACGCTCACAGCGCCTGCAGGCTGGGCCGCTGCTCCGCCAGCACGCAAGTCCCCGTCCTTGGAGACTGGGGCCACAGGCTTCCCGCTAACCTAACAGTACTGAGAGTTACCAGTAACAGCACCACATCTACAAAGTTCCAAACACCTCTTAGTTAAGCAGCACACACAAAAGAGGTCGAAAAAAAGCCAAAAATGACAATTTAAAAACATTTCTGTTAACAAACACACAACCTGCTGGTACTTGTGACTTGTACCTGAGGCAGTACTGAAGGGAAATTTGCAGTTTTGAGTGTTTATCCTAGGAGAGAAGGAAGGCTGAAAACCAAGGATCTGTGTCTTCACTGTAAAAGCTAGAAAAATCTTATAATTAAACCCAAAGTGCAAAAGTCCATGTCATAGACAATACAAATTAATTTTAAAAATCAACAAAGTCAAAAATTGGTTCTTAGAAGAAAAATTAATAAAACTGATAAATCCCCTAGGAGAAAAATACAAATCATCTAAATTGGGATAAAGGGGCACAGATACTATGCTCATTAAAAGGATATTAAGGGGGCCAGTGTTGTGGTGCAGTGAGTCCTGGCCTGAAGCACCAGCATCCCATATGGGCGCCGGTTCAAGACCCAGCTGCTCCACTTCCGATCCAGCTCTCTGCTATGGCCTTGGAAAGCAGTAGGACTTGGCCCAAGTCCTTGGGCACCCGCATGGGAGACCCAGAAGAAGCTCCTGGCTCCTGGCTTCGGATCGGCACAGCTCCATCCAGCCTTGTAGCCAACTGGGGAGTGAACCATCGGATGGAAGACCTCTCTCTCTCTCTCTCTCTCTCTCTCTCTCTCTCTCTCTCTCCCCTCTCTCTGTGTAACTCTGACTTTCAAATAAATAAATAAATCTTTTTTTAAAAAGGATATTAAGCAAAAATTAATAGCCATATGCCAACAATTTTGACAACTTTGGTGAAACAGGAAAATTCCTTGAGGGAAAAATGACAGAAGACAAACTGACAGTCTGAACAGCCCTGCATTCATTAAAGAATCTGAATCTGTAATCAAAACTCCCAGAAAGAGCGTCCCGCCCCAGGCGGCCTCGCTCCGAAGTCCCATCACGCAGTCCAGGAGGAGTGTTACCAAGCTCACCGCTTAGACGAGTGCTCCAGAAGACAGAGAAGGAGGGCGTACTCCCCTCCATGCAAAACACTGACACCAAAGCCCAGGCAAGAACTGAAAGAACACCAGTTCACTCAGCAAAGGCAGCCTGGAGTCTTCAGCAGTCTCACAGAGCTGAAGAGACACACGCCCAGCTCTCACAGGGACCCACCGTAGGGCCATCACGGGGACCCTGGGCAAAGCCAGAGCACCACACAGGGAGAGTAACCCAAGCCTCCACACAGGGCAACACACCGATGCTCAGACAGAAATCACGGAGTGTCTAAGAAGCAGGAGGTAATGGGGGACAGGGGAAACACCTAGGTGTGAGTCCAGCCAAATATCTACACCACCAACTGTTGTCACACAGTGGGGCCGGCGCTGAGGCGTAGCGGGTAAAGCCGCCACCTGTGACACCAGCATCCCATATTGGCACCGGTTCAACTCCTAGCTGCTCCACTTTGGATCAAGTTCTTACTAATGGGTCTGGGAAAAGCAGTGGAGATGGTTCAAGTGCTCAGGCCCCTGCTAAACCCGTGGGAGACCTGATGAAGCTCCTTGCTCCTGGCTTCGGCCTGGCCCAGCACTGACTATTGTGGCCATATGGGGAATGAACCAACAGAGGGGATATGTCTGTCTGTCTCTGTCTTTCCCTCTCTCTATATAACTCTGACCTTCATAATAAATAAATAAATCTTTTTTAAAAAAATGGTTGTGATACAGTGGGGTGCCGAGCACAGTACAAGGCTCTGGAGATCCAAGATGCACAGACCTAAGTAACTTCCTTATCACTAGTGAGTTACAGCAAAACGATTCAATGTTCAAATGGACACAGGAGCTGAAGACAAAGATGGAGACAGGGCTGACACCAAAGGGAACGGCTCTGGACTGGTAGGAGAAGCCCTGAGCAAGGCAGGAGTACAGAAGACGAAGGTCAAGGTGACCCCATCTGCGACAGGGGCACTGAGGGACCACCTGGAGATGAAGAGCACACAAAAGCTGTGGCACAGCCACAGAAAAGCGCACGGGGCACAGGGAGGACCCCCAAGCACCAGGAAGCAGCAGAGACAGCATTTCCTAAAGAAGGTGACAGAAGGAAGATGCGGGGCCCAAGGACGACACCTGGGAAACACAGAGGTCAAGGGCAGTGGGGAAATGAGGGTGGAAAGAACCCTACAGGTTCAGGACTCAAGAAGGTGATGGGGGGGGGGGGGCGGCAGCATTGTGGCAAAGCGGGCAAAGCCGCTGCCCACAGTGCCAGCATCCCACATGGGCGCCAGTTCAAGTCCCGGCTGCTCCACTTCTGATCCCGCTCCCTGCTAATGCACCTGGAAAAGCAGTGGAAGACAGCCTGAGTGCATGGGCCCCTGCACCCACGTGGGAGACCCAGAAGAAATCCATGGCTCCTGGCTTCAGCTTGGCCCTGCCCATGGCAGCCATTTGGGGAATGATCAAGGTAATGGAAAATCAATCAATCTCTCTCTCTCTCTCTCTCTAACTCTGTCTTTTAAATAAATAAGATAAATCTTTAAAAAAAAAAAAAAAGGACAACAGTGGGGGGGGTTGTTCTCTGGAAAGAAGAGAAATGGGCATGAATGTGACGGGAAGGAGGTGTGGTCATTTGTCATCTCCAAAGCAAACAGCAGGTGCAGGACCCCAGGCAACACGAAGAGTTGGGTGGGAGCAGGATGAGCAGCAGGGCTCCTCGGTCCTGAGCGCTGCTCAGTGGGTACCCAGGCAGGACCCCCAGGATGAGTGTACCACCAGGGGCTTCCCCGGCTCTGCCTCACACAGAATTTGCACTCGCCCACGGAGTACAAAACCATCCCCAGCCCCACACAAGGGACCATCCAACTAGGCCCCGAGACACCCAGTCCCTTTCCCAAGGTCACACAGCTCGTGAGCAGAGCTGAGGTTCTAGGCCAGCCCGTCAAGCCCGTTCCAGTCCCAGTGCACAGTGCATCCCTGGGCATCACAGCGCCCACTTCACAGACCTGGAAAGGTGACATGGCTTTCACGGGGTTCCTGAGGTTCTTCAGACTCGGAGCCATGAGCTCCGCTTTTCCTTTTGTCACACTGCCCACCCGCGGTGCCCCAACTTGTAAAGTGTGGAAGAAAACACAGATATCCTGAAACAGCCAACCCACCACAGCCAGCGAGTTCAGCACCTTACATGGGCAAGAAAAATCCACTCGGCTCTCCTGGACTCTGCACATATGTCCTTGTGGCGTGGCGGTCCCACCACACGAAGTGAGGAAGACGCGTGCCACCACCGTGAAGACAGGCCGCGACACACCTGCACCCTCGCGGAACACTGGTAAACAGGGATGAGCCCTGCCTCCCTCCCTCCCGGCAGCAGCGGCTCCTGTCTGCGATCACTTCATTTACATACGACAGGCTGCAGGCCCTGAGAAGCAATCATTCAAGTAGATCAAGAGACTAAATATTTTCCTTGTTCCTTTCAAGTGCATAAACATGTTCCACCAAACTGCAAGGCAATCACGTGAAGTTGTCAGCTTATTACATAATCATCTGTGAGAAGCACTACTAGGAAATTAAGTATTTCTACGGATCTTAACATAATATCCAGATGGAGAAACTACCTTAGTAACAAAGACTTGGGGCTGGCAGCATGGCACAGCGAATTAAACCACTGCCTGCAATGCCACCATCCCACATGAGCACGGTTGCAGTCCGGCTGCTCCACTTCTGATCCAGCTCTCTGCTAATGCACCAGGAAAACAGTGGGAGACAGCCAGGTCCTTGGACCCCTGCCACCCACAAGGGAGCCCCAGATGCAGGTCCAGGCTCCTGACTTCTGCCTGGCCTGGACACTGCAGCCATTCAGAGAGTGAGTAAGCAGACGGAAGAGCTCTTCCTCTCTTTCTTCCTCTCTAACTCTGCCTTTCAAATAAATGAAGAAATCTCTTTTTTTAACGTTTGTTCATTTACTTACTTGAAAGTCAGAATTACAGAGAGAGAGGGAGAGATAGATAGAGAGCTTCCATCCGCTGGTCCACTCCCCATATGGCCACAACAGCCAGGGCTGGGCTAGTATGAAGCCAGGAGTCAGGAGCTTCTTGCAGGTCTCCCATGTGGATCCAGGGGCCCAAACACCTCGGCCATCTTCCCAGGCACATTAACAGGGAGCTGGATTGGAACTGGAGCAGCTGGGACTCCAATGGGTGCCCATATGGGATGGTGGCATTGCAGATGGTGGCGTAATCCACTGTGCCACAGTGCAGGCAGGCCCCAATAAAAAAAATCTTTAATAAAAATAATTTTAGAATACTATTGACTATGAACTGGTGGTTATAAAACCTATGGCACAGGCCGGCGCCGCGGCTCACTAGGCTAATCCTCCGCCTAGCGGCGCCGGCACACCGGGTTCTAGTCCCGGTCGGGGCGCCGGATTCTGTCCCGGTTGCCCCTCTTCCAGGCCAGCCCTCTGCTGTGGCCAGGGAGTGCAGTGGAGGATGGCCCAGGTGCTTGGGCCCTGCACCCCATGGGAGACCAGGAAAAGCACCTGGCTCCTGGCTCCTGCCATCGGATCAGCGTGGTGTGCCGGCCGCATCGCGCTGGCCGCGGCGGCCATTGGAGGGTGAACCAACGGCAAAGGAAGACCTTTCTCTCTGTCTCTCTCTCTCTCACTGTCCACTCTGCCTGTCAAAAAAAAATAAAAATAAAAAATAAATAAAAAATAAAAAAAAAAATAAAACCTATGGCACAGGCCGGTGCCACAGCTCAATAGGCTAATCCTCCACCTGCGGTGCCGGCACCCCAAGTTCTAGTCCCAGTTGTGGCGCCAGATTCTGTCCCGATTGCTCCTCTTCCAGTCCAGCTCTCTGCTGTGGCCCGAGAGTGCAGTGGAGGATGGCCCAAGTGCTTGGGCTCTGCACCCGCATGGGAGACCAGGAGAAACACCTGGCTCCTGCCATCGGATCAGCGCGGTGCGCCGGCCGCAGCAGCCATTGGAGGGTGAACCAACGGCAAAGGAAGACCTTTCTCTCTGTCTCTCTCTCCCACTGTCCACTCTGCCTGTCCAAAAAAAAAAAAAAAAACTATGGCACAAAAACATTCCAAACAGATGCAGTGATTAAAAGTGACATTTAGGAGCCAGTGCCATAGTATAGCAGGTTAAGCCTCCACTTACAGTGCTGTAATCCCATACGGGCACCAGTTCAAGTCCTGGCTATTCCACTTCCAATCCAGTTCCCTGCTAATGGCCTAGGAAAGCAATGGAGGATAGCCCTAGTTCTTGGGCCCCTGCATCCATGTGGGAGACCTGGAGGAAGCTCCTGGCTCCTGGCTTTGGATCAACCCAGCTCCAGCTGTTGCAGCCATTTGGGGAGTGAACCAGTGGATGAAAGACCTCTCTCTCTGTCTCTTCCTCTCTAACTCTGCCTCTCAAATGAATAACCTTTAAAAAAAAAAATAAAAGTGACATTAAAAAAAAAACCTTCATAATATGGAAAAGGCTTATGCTGCTTCAAAAATCAGAATACAGATTTATAAAATAAATTCAATTTTTAAAATCAATCCAATTTTTAAACGAATAAACAATACTAAATAGACACATAGAATGTTAAGTGTGCCTGTCTATGCAGTTAGGATGCAGGATGAGGAATTATTTTTTTCCTATCCATTTATATTTTTCAAGATTTCTAAAAGGAACATACATAATTTATAAGCTAAAATTTATCATTAAAATCCTTCAAACTGCGGCAGGCATTGTGGTGCAGCACGTTAAGCTGCTGCTTGGGACACCCGCATCCCACACTGGAGAGTCTGGTTCAAGTCTCGGCTGCCCCATGCCACAGATCTGGTTTCCTGCTCACGTGCACCATGGGAGGCAGCAGGTGATGGCTCAAGTGCATGCGTCCCTGCCACCCACACGGGAGACCCACAGGAACTCTGGGCTCCTACCTTTGGCCTGGCCAGCCCTGGCTGTTGCAGGCATTTGGGGAGTGAGCCACTGGATGGAAGATTTCTCTCTCTTTTTTCTGTTACTCAGCCTCTTACATAAATACACAAACAAATTTTTTAAATGCTTCAACTTGAATTTTCAAAAAGCTTTTACAAAGAAAACTCGGGGTCTGCTACCACCCTCCATCCGGGTACAGAAGCCAGCACCATAAAAGTCAGGCGGACAGAAGCTGCAAGGTGCCTTGGTTTGAATGCCGGCAGCTCGTGGGCATGCCTAGACCCGAGAGGACGGCGGCAGCAGTGACAGGTATCCAGGACTGTGCAAACTCAGGACACACAGTCACTGCCATCCCTTCTCCACAGATTAGGAAGCCAAGGCTCAGAGACTCACGCCAGGCCGGGGGTCTGCCACTCCTCCACCACATGCCCAGATTTCACTCCACTCCCCCAGCACACAGACACTGCCTAAGCAGCCATCATCCTGTGAGGAAGACCCTTCCTGACACCACGCAGCGCGATTCCATCTCGTGAAGAGAAGCAGCAGTCCTCTAACTGCTGGCTCTCACTCTGCCTGCGTTACTAAACCTTCAGAAAAGGCAATGTCAAGTCGTTCAGCTCCACACAGACTTACAGGGAAAGAAAGACAGCAGGTTCCCCGTCCCCGGGAGTGCACACCCCAGGGAGAGATCAGCTAGCTAAGGGACGCTAGGAGCAAATGAAATGATCTCACTGAGCACTCAGCCAGGTAATCAAAAGGAGAGGAGGAAGAATGTGCTGACTTCTTAACAGCAGGGGAGCTGGGGAAAGGACCCGCAGAGCTTCTGCTCCGGCAGGACAGCACCAACTACATGACTGCTCCAAGAACCAAAAATGCCCAGTAAACCAAATACGCACTATGTAGATGGGGAAAGTATGAAAGCAGGCTAAAAAGATGGCTTGAAGCAAACCATGAGTGTCCTTGAGATAAAGCCAACACTTCACAGGGTACACGAGGCCAGTCCCACAGGCTCCTGAGCTTCGGAGAAGGCGCAAACTCTCCCTGTGACGAGCGGGCTGGAAAGGGCCAAGCCAGGGGACGGGGCGTGACATCGAGAGGGTGCTGCAGAGCAAGAGGGGCCCAGAATCTGAACCAGGGCCATGACAGTGGAAAGGGGAAGACCTGGCCCAGGTGAGATCAACTCACATGGACATAGGACACACCAGGCAGGTGGGGCCCAGGTGAGATCAACTCACATGGACATAGGACACACCAGGCAGATGGGGCCCAGGTGAGATCAACTCACACATGGACATAGGACACACCAGGCAGATGGGGCCCAGGTGAGATCAACTCACACATGGACATAGGACACACCAGGCAGGTGGGGCCCAGGTGAGATCAACTCACATGGACAGGGGACACGCCAGGCAGGTGGGGCCCAGGTGAAATCAACTCACATGGACAGGGGACACACCAGGCAGGTGGGGACCAGGTGAAATCAACTCACACATGGACAGGGGACACGCCAGGCAGGTGGGGCCCAGGTGAAATCAACTCACATGGACAGGGGACACATGAGGCAGGTGGGGACCAGGTGAAATCAACTCACACATGGACAGGGGACACGCCAGGCAGGTGGGGCCCAGGTGAGATCAACTCACATGGACATAGGACACGCCAGGCAGGTGGGGCCCAGGTGAGATCAACTCACATGGACATAGGACACACCAGGCAGGTGGGGCCCAGGTGAAATCAATCACATGGACAGGGGACATGCCAGGCAGGTGGGGACCAGGTGAAATCAACTCACATGGATATAGGACACACCAGGCAGGTGGGGCCCAGGTGAGATCAACTCACATGGACACAGGACACGCCAGGCACATAGCAGGACAATTCAAGTGACTCCAAAAGTCTCAGCTTCCAAGACTAAGAAGATGGTGGCACCCTTGACTCAAAACAGGAAACTCAGGGCCGGCGCCGTGGCTCACTTGGCTAATCCTCCGCCTGCAGCGCCAGCACCCTGGGTTCTAGTCCCGGTTGGGGCACTGGATACTAGTCCTGGTTGCTCCTCTTCCAGTCCAGCTCTCTGCTGTGGCTCGGGAGGGCAGTGGAGGATGGTCCAAGTGCTTGGTCCCTGCACCCGCGTGGCAGACCAGGAAGAAGCACCTGGCTCCTGCCTTCGGATCAGCGCAGCACCAGCTACGGGAGTGAAACAACAGAAGGAAGACCTTTCTCTCTCTCTCTCACTGTCTTTAACTCTCCCTCTGTCTCTCTCTCTCTCACTAACTCTGCCTGGCAAAAAAGAAAAAAGAAAAAACCAGGAGACTCAGGAGGAAAAGACAGAGCATTCAACAGAGGAGACAGTGACTTAGGCTCCCATGAGGCAGCCTCCAGTTGTGAGCTGGAGCTCAGAGGTCAGGAACAAAACTACGAGCAGGAACTCTATTTTGAATGCACTCTGAGTTTCACCCTTGAATCCCTACCATAAGTCTTCCCACAGTTTCTAAGTGTGAGTCCCCACTGACCCTCCTTGTAACTCCTAGGTTTTTAGAACCTGTTTCTCAGAACCCAAATCATTACCTTTAATGAATGACTAATTTCCTAATTTTTCTGAAATCCAAATTTCTGTCCCAGCTGCTTGGTTTTCTTCCCCACCCTGAGGTGCTTGAGGGGTGCTCCCCTGAGCCACACGGGCTCTAGGTGGTGGCATTGGGAGCAGGAAGTGAACAGCCTTCTGGGCTCCATGACCTCACGGTCCTAAGTCACCACAACACAACGAGATCCTGACTGGGCGAGATCCCCACGGCTCTGCCATCCTGTAGAGGATCCCAATGCTGCCTGTCTCTGCCTCTGATACTCTCTACTCGGATGCAGATCTGGGAGACAGGCAGGGCAACATCAAAGCTGAGGACCACGAGAAACAGTTGGGAAAATGCACCACTTCTTTCATTTCCTGCCTCTCAACAGCCCCAGGAACACGGTGAAAGGAGAGACCGGGGGTCCCCAGCATGAGGATCCGGGCCCTGGTGGAGCACAGCTTTGCCTGGCCAAGTCCCATCAACGTGACAACAATGGACAGCAAACTTCTAACACATTTCCTTTGAGCTGAGTAGCAAGGTAATGAGCTGACAGCACAATGAAGGAGCAGCTGAATAAATTAAACTTGACATCTCCTAGCTCATCCCATCCTTGTCTTTCAAACAAAAAACAATTGTGTCTGAGTGGACAGGTACCCTCCCCGTGACAGGCACAAACACAGAGGTATCAGATGCAGCTGGCACAACCTTGGTGGGGTCAGCTCCTGGTGGGTGCTGGGCAGCACTGAGCTCATGCTCACTGGGCACACGTGGCCGGCTGGGGACAGGGGAGGGCAGGAGTAGCATCAGGGCCTTCTGAGCCAGTAAGCCCCCAGTGCCCTTCCCAGTCCTGCAGACGCCGCCCAGGAGGCCTGGGTATGGTAACAGATGCCTTTATGCTCCCTGTAAAATGGGCTCTTTGGGCAACCAGGAGGGTGGACAAGGCCAGTGCTTGTAAAGGCACGCACACAGGGTCTGCATACAGAAGGTGCTCAACAACGCGCCCTCAGACCCCTCTCGCAGCAAAGTCCGGGCCACCTTCCTCTGCATCTGAGGGAGATGTAGCAGAAGGGCATTCTAGAAAGCTAACTACAGGCTAGGTGGGAGCGAAGACGCGTCAACCGAGCTGCATGCCACATCAGGGACAGTCGAGCCACAGCTGAGACGACCACGACTTGTCCATCTGGAAGCCAAGACCAGAGCTCAAACCAAACAAGATGTGAGAAGGTCGAGAACAAGTCAGAGAGGCGGGCGCGGGATCCACCTGCTCTGAGCAGGGGCAAAATGGGCCTAGGGGGTCCAGCAGAGGCTGTGAGAGCAGGGACGTGGTGGACGTCCAGCGTACGGGGTGCTGCAGGCTGTTGTGCACATTCCTCACCCACACGCAACATGCCACAGCACAGGGCTGGCGACAAGGGAGAGAGAAGGCTGGTGACTACAGCTCAGATCCCGGCACACGCCCCGAGCACAGAGCATCTCACTGGAGCATTTCAGAGACGAATGAGGTCGGTCTCAGAGGGTAGGCAGCTGTTGCTGTCCGCACCACCATGACGGCCCCATGGCATGTCCCAGCTCCTAAGGCGCACCTGTAACCTCACTGGCTTCAGGAGCTCAGGGGGGGGGGGGAGTCACATCCTCCACATCTCCAATTTTTGTGGAATTGCTTTTTTCTCTTCAGTCTGGAGCCCCAATAAACCACACCCCTCTCTTACACCACCACCTGCAGCAAAGCCTTCATATGCAGGAGACGTGGCCGGCACTGTCACACTGTGGGCTAAGCTGCCACTTGGGACACGAGCTTCCCGTATCAGGGTGCCAGCTGCTCCTTTTCCAATCCAGCCTCCTGCTATGGCCTAGGAAAGCAGTGGATGATGGCCCAAGTACCTGGGCCCCTGCCACCCACATGGCAGACCCAGAAGTTGCTCCAGGCTCCTGGCTTCAGCCTCGCCCAGACCTAGCTGCTATGACCATTTGGGGACTAAACCAGTGGATGGAAGATCTCTCTCAATATCTCTACCTTCCCTCCCTCCCCTCCTCTCTGCCTTTCAACTAAATAAACGAATCTTTGTATAAAGTACAGGAGAAATGAGTCCCTGGACCTTTGCAACTTCCATAGCTCCACAAGAACTTTCCCGGGAAATGCACAAGCTGGGCGAGGATGTGCACAGAGCCCTGGACACCCCTGAGAACCTTGCACTCCGGATAACGACTGGAGAGAGGCAGCCACACAGCGACACGTCGGCCAGGATCAGCCATCGGCCACACAACACCTTCTCACACGAACCTCACACAGGTCCAGTTCAAAGCCCCGGTCCTGCAGAGCCTGATGTCTCCTCCACCACCTGGACCCTGCCATACTGGGCCTTGCCATCTGCAGCCTGGCACAGCCGTTCTGGAAGTGGCTCTGAGAACAGGCTGGGCCCTATGGGCACCCACAAGCCTGAGAAGAGAGGGGATAAGGGCAGGCGGCCACAGAGCAGATAAACACTAATAATCTAAGATGGATCTCTGCTTTATCTTACTAGGGATATGCCAGTGTTTTCCCTAAGACAGGTCCTGTCACCTACAGGTTACTTAATAAATACCATCTTCCTTAAAACGATATGCAAAGAAGCCTGGACACAGGCCTTCCGTCCTCTCCAGAGAGATGTGACGTCTACGCAGGGCAAAGGAACACTGTGCACAGGCACCGCGACTCAGCCAAGCTAACAGACCCTGGCCCCCACCACCCAGGACCCCAGGAGGCACACAGCTGACTCATGTCTAGGGTGTCAATTCCATCGGTTTTTTTTTTTCCAAAGAAACCTTTTATTTAATGAGTACAAAGTTCATAAGTACAACTTCAGGAATATCAGTGATTCTTCTACCATACCCGCCCCCCACCACTACTCCACCATCTCCTCCCTGTCCCATTCTCCACTAAAAATTTAAAAAAAAACCTGTTCCTCAACAGTCAAGAAAAGGGTTGTTGAAGTCATTGCTTCTCAAAGTGTCAATTTCACTTCCACAGATTTCCTTTTAGGTGCTCTATTAGTTATCACAGATCAGGGAGAACATATGGTATTGGTGCCTTTGGGACTGGCTTATTTCACTAAGTATGATGTTTTCCAGATTCATCCATCTTGTTGCAAATGACCAGATTTCATTTTTTAACCGCTGTATAGTATTCCATAGAGTACATATCACATGATTTCTTTATCCAGTCTTCAGTTGACGGGTATTTGAGTGGATTCTATCTCTTAGCTATTGTGAAATGAGCTGCCATAGACATGGGGGTACAGATAACTCTTATTTGCTGACTTCATTTCCCTTGGGTAAATTCCCAGCAGTGGGCTGGCTGGGTCTATATTCAAATTTCTGAGGTATCTCCCAACTGACTTCCACTATGGAAGTCACACCAACAGTGGATTAGGGTACCTTCTTCCCTACATCCTCACCAGCATTTGTTGTTTGTTGATTTCTGTATGAAAGCAGTTCTAACTAGAGTGAGGTGAAACTTCACTGTGGTTTTGATTTGCATTTCTCTGATGGCTAGTGATACTGAACATTTTTTCACGTGTCTGTTGGCCATTTGGATTTCCTCTTTTAAAAAATGTGTGTTTTAGGTCATTTGCTCATTTCTTCACTGGGTTGTCTGTTTTGTTGTTGTGGAGTTTCTTGATCTCTTTATGTATTCTGGTTATTAATTCTTTATCAGTTGCATTGCTTGGAAATAATTTCTCGCATTCTCTCAGTTGCCCCTTTACTTTCCTGAATGTTTTTTTGAACTACAGAAGCTTCTCAATTTGATGTAATCCAATTTGTTAATTTTGGTTTTGCTTGCCTGTGTCTCTGGGATCTTTTCCAAGAACCCTTTTCCTCTGCCATTGTCTTACAGGGTTTCCCCAATGTTCTCTAATAATCTGATGGCATCAAGTCATAAACTTAGGTCTTTCATCCATTTTGAATGGATTTTTGTATAAGGTGTAAGTAAGGTAGGGGTACTGCTTCATATTTCTGCATGCAGAAATCCAGTTTTCCCAGCACCATTTGTTGAAGAAATTGTCCTTGCTCCAGGGACTGGTTTTAGTTCCTTGGTCAAATATAAGTTGGTTGTAGATGCTTGGATTGGTTTCTGGTGTTTCTATTCTGTTCCATTAGTCTATCCTTCTGTTTTTGTACCAGTATCAGATAGTTTTGATTATAACT